ACTAACTGACCAACCACTGTGGTTTGGAAATCAGAATCATATAAGAAATTGGCAACACCTGTTTACATCTTAAAGCAAGGAAGCTTTGAAAGTGCTATACAGTTGTTTCCCTAAACAACAGGACTGTTCCCAGAAAAAGATAGAGGTCCTCTATTAAGGATCTATTAGCTATTGTTATCTATTGCCACTAACAAATTATCCAAAATTCAGTGGCTTAAAATAACAAATGTTTACTATCAAAGAGTTTCTGTGGATCAGGAAACCAGGTGTGGTTTAGTTTGGTGTCTGACTCAAGGTCTCTCACAAGCCTGCAATCAAGGTTTTGGCCAGAGTACAGTCATTTTTTAAGGTTCAGTTGTGGGGAGGATCTGCTTCTAAACTCATTCATGTGGCTATGGCCTTGGATCCTTGACAGCTTGGTCAGTGTATCAGCTTGGGTTTGCTCTCGTTTGGATCTTAAGTTTCCTCCAAAGGCCTATGTAGAAAAGACTTATTCTCCAGCTTGGTGGGATTGGGAGGTAGTAGAACCTTAATGGGGCCTAGAGGGAGGTATTCCGATCATCAGAGGGTGGGAATGTGCTCTGGAAGGGAATTGTGCAATTCCAGCCCCTTTCTCTCTTTCACTTCCCAACCATGAGGTGAATGGTTTTGGTTTACCATGTGCTCCTGCCAAAGGCCCAAAGCAACAGGGCTAATCAATCATGGACTGAAGGCTCTGAAGTCATGAGCCCAAATAAACCTTTTCTCTTTAGAAGTTGGTTATCTCAGGTATTTGTTATAGTCATGGGAAACTCACATAGGCTGCTGTACCAAAATACCATAGACTGAGTGGCTTAATCAACAAGCGTTTACTTCTTATAGTCCATGGAGGCTGGGAAGTCAGAGATCAAGCTCTCCTGGTGTGCAGACAGTTGCCTCTTCACTGTGTCCTTATATATAGAAAGAGGGAGAGAGCTCTGGTCTCTTTTTCTCTTCTTACAAGGACAATAATACCATCAAGAGACCCTGCACTCATGATCTCATCTAAACCTAATTATCTCCCAAAAGCTCCAGTTCTAAATATCATCACATTGGAGATTAGAATTTCAATTATGCATTTTTGTGTGTGTATGGGACAAATTTGATCAAGAATAATTAACTACATCAGCTCCCCAATATATAGTTTTTTTCATAGGGCATCACAATATGGTATCTGTTTTTCTCAGAGTAGGTAAGTGAAGGAGAGAGTGTACCCCAGACACAAGCCACAGCCTTTTTGTAACCTAATCTCTGAAGTAACATCATACTACTTTTGTCCTCTTCTCTTTGTTACTAGTGGGGCACACATTCAAGGGGAGAGGAGTACCCAGGGGTATGAGTACTGGGAGATAGAGATGATTGGAGTCCATTTTACAGGCTGTCTACTATCCAGGTTCTGAGCAGATAACACAATAAAAGACCACTCTGCTAAGCAGAGGCCATCTAAAAAGCAGTGATCATGATCCAAACTATACATATAAACCATACAAACAAGCGGGATCTGTAGATAAACTTCAAGATTATGATGATACCACAATGAGAATGTTAATATGAAATGTGCTAACAGGTGACAATGATGTGCACAGAAGGTTTTAAATTTGTTTTTATTGAATATGAATCCAACATGTAAAGACAGTATCTATAAAACATTTGTAAGCTATAAAGAAGAGTGATAAAATGAACATGACTGTACTACACAGTATAAGAGAAGGGATGACAAGGACTTTCAAGGCCTCCAAGGCCTTCCCATTCCTTCCCCCTGAAGAAGTCATCTTTACGCTGAATTTTGTGATCATTATTCACTTTACCTTCATCATTTTACCACAGATGTTTGTATTCCTACTCAAGATATTCTTTGATTTTCCCTGCCTTTGGCTTTATAGAAATGGAATCGTACTGTATGTATTTCTTTCAAAAGATTTTGTTTTGAGATTTATCCATTTGATGCCTTTGCATTGGTGTTTTCAACTTGACCCAAACTTCACTAAGTTCTTCATATATTGCTCTAGTACAAGAGCAAACTCACATTTATCACTTGAGCCCCCAACTTTCTCTTCACTTTTCTTTTTTTTTTTCCCTTTTTTTAGGGGTGGTACTGGGGGCTGAACCCAGCGGTGTTCTGCCATCCCCAGTTTTTTTTTTTTTTAATTTTGAGATAGAGTCTTGCTAAGTTTTAGGACCTCTCTAAGTTGCTGAGGCTGGCTTTGAGCTTGTAATCCTCCTGCCTCTCTCAGCCTCTTGAGTTGCTGGGATTGCAGTGCACATGAGCACCCAGTTCTGTTCACTTCTTTATACAAAACTGTTTGACTTTACTACAACTCATCTATATATGTCTTGATGGACATTTGTGTTAGTTTCATCTTTTTGCTACATAAATAGTGCTAGTATCAACATCACAGTGCTTGTTCCTGGCACCCTTGTGTAAAAATTTTCTCAGAGAATACACCTGGAAAAGGAATTTTTGGATCAAATACATATAAGCTTTATGAAATAATGTCAAATTGTTTCCAAAGTGGTTGTCGTGATTTCATTCTTATCAACTGTGAGTAAACATTCCAGTTGTCCCAAATCCTATCCAATATTTGATACTTTTATTTTTGCCAGTCTGGAAGTCATCATATGGAATTTCACTGACATTTCAATTTATATTTCACACATGAATTGTAATATATTTTACTGCATTGGTAAGTGCTATCCAGTGATCAAATGAGACTCTGAACTCTATACTCGAGTTTTGGCCAATTTACAGGTTGTTGTTAACCTTAACTGAACATCAACCCTGTGCAAATTCTTTGGTGAAATGCAAAGAATCAAGACTTGTATTTAGTATGATGTCTATGTTACAGAATGGTATAAGGTAGAGACAATCAAATGGTGAATAAAGCAAATAATTTTTAGGCTGGGGATGGTGATGTAGTTCAGTGCTCGAGCATGAGGCTCTTGGTTCAAGTTCTAGCACACGTATGTGTATGTACACACAAATATACATGCACAAAAAAGAAAGAAATTAAAACAATTTTCATGGACATTGTATTCCTTATATATTTGTTTTAGAATATTATGTGAAGATGTTGTAAAGTAATTAAGAGGAAAAGTGAGTCATGTATGTCTAGTTTATGCAACATCTCTGCTGCCCTAAAGGGTATTCAAGGAAAAGGCGGTGGGCCATTTTGGGTTGGACACATTTTATTCCTGATTCAGAGTCCAAGAGATGATGGTGCTATGAAGGTCTTCTGTAGAATTTGCATACTCAGGTATTTACAATGAAGTGTTAATAAAGGAATTACTCCCCTTCAATGTCATTCTGGATTGTCAACTTTGGATTATGAACCTGCTGATGTGGGGATTCATTAAAATGATAAACTTAGTGAAGTCACATCCTGATTGGACTTTACCCAAGAAACACATTCCAGCATAAGCCAAAGGTCCAAGTATAAAGTTAGCTGCTAATGGGCAAGAAATCAGGTGATCAGGTTTAGCTGGTGACAGTCTGTCCTTGGTGGCAAAGCTGAAAAAAAAGGAACCTGCCAGTGATATTGGTCAAATTATATTGTTATATTATGTATTGTGTGCATGTATGAATATATAACAACAGATCTCATCAGTATGTACAACTATAATGCACCAATTTTAAAAAGTGAGGAAAAATACAAAACAAATGGAACCTGACAAGTACTTGGATTAACGACAGGATGAGACTGGACCCTAGGTGTTTGAGTGGGCTGGCTTGGGATCCTGTAGAGAGCAGTGACAAAACAAATAGTGGAAGCCAGGTATTGGGTGCACCTTGAACTTTTATCAACATTAGTACAGAAAACAAATCAAAATGACTTTACTCGTGGGTTGTTAGGAGTATAAGTTTACATGTTTGAAAAGCAATTTAGCACATCCATCAAGAACATATTCTTGTTTTTTGGCCATCTAAGTCTACCTGTAAGAGTGTGCCCAGTAGGTTATCATAGATGAAAGTGTATTCATTCAAATTATTTCAGAAAACACCAAGAGGCTAATTAGATGAGGGAACCCAGAAAACTGGGAACATCCTAACCTTGGGAATTGCACAGACCTAGGAGCAGGTGTGGGTTTGGGCTGCCCTGGAACAGCAGGGGATTCTCAGTGTGCTGCTTTTCCCCTTAGAACTGTTAGCCTCCTCTCTGCTCTATCTTTTCTCTACCATCTAACTCCTGCTTGTCCAGTTTTTACAACCCCAGTCAACTACTGGCAACATTACTTCTTAACTCTCAGTTTTTCCTTGTTTGAACTCTCCATAGGGGAATCTGGCCAGATTACCTTTCCAAACTATTTAAGTAAGAGTTATTCCATCTGTCTGTGGATTGGTTGCTCTTGGATCGGGTGTCCCTCCCTCGGCCCAAATCAGCAGGGCTAATATTAGGAGATAGCCAGCCCATAGCTGCTGACCAGTGGTGTGTCAGTTTCCCTTATAAAGGACAAAAACTGAGGACAAACACTGTGATGGACGTGCCTAGAAAAGGAATCTTTAAAAAAAGATGCAAAAATGGGGACCAAGAGGTTCATTAAAGTGCTGTTATAGCACCCACAATGTCTATCAATGGAGTAGCATGATATTTATGGGCTGTTTAGGTATGCAACAATGAGCAGCTTAATGAAATTACTGAAGACTATTGAAGAACACAGAAAATACCCACAAGATATTACAAAGGGCAAAAAGGCTATATAACTGCATATACAACATGATCAGAATTTTCTAAGAAAAATGCACATTTACTTTTTAATTTGTAAGGGATAGTTAAGGGGTTAGTGGTGTGATACCTGGTGGTATAATAGTTCTTTATTTGGTCATAACTTTCAAATCTTTAATTAGCAGATTTTTTTTTTTTTTTAAATAATGAGAGGGAGTACTAAGTACTAAAGCCCGCGTTCCTTCATTTTAACCTGGCCTGGGACGGCCCCTTCCCGGCTCCCAGTCCAGGGGGCGCGCGCGGCCTCTTTCTCTCCTCGCCCTTCCTCTTCTCCAGTGGAAAAAGGTCCTTTTCTGCATTGTCGCAGGTTCCAACACATTGCTTTTCTAACCACAGACCCACACCCGCAGATTCGCAAGGCCAGCCCAGGGAACGCTGGCGCCGCCCGCCTTCCGCCTTCCGGTGGCTAGCGGACACGGTCTGGCCTGTCGCTGCAGCATGGCTCCGCTACGCTTCTCCGCCAATCTGTCCTGGCTGTTCCCGGAACTCCCCGACCTCCCTGCGCGACTGCGGGCTGCGGGCAGCTCGGGCTTCGAGGCCGCCGAAGTGGCCTGGCCGTACGCGGAGCCGCCCGAGGCTCTGGCGCGCGCCGCGCGGGCAGCGGGGCTGCAGCTGGTATTGATCAACACGCCCCCGGGTGAGTCCCGGGGCCGAAGGCGACCGGAGCGGCGCGCGGCGTGGGAAGCACGGGGTCCCTGAGCTAGAACTGAGGCCCGTTTTCTCCGCAGGAGACCAGGAGAAGAGGGAAATGGGGCTGGGGGCCGTCCCCGGGAGACAGGCGGCCTTCCGAGAAGGGCTGGAGCAGGCTGTGCTGTACGCCAAGGCTCTGGGCTGTCCTAGGTATCCTGCTCTATCCCCCTCCCAAGACTGTAGAGTCAGGGTCAGAGAAGAGGTCGCCAGTTCTGAGACGTCGGGACTTAGGGGCCTGGGCCTACTGGCCCTCCTTCAGCCCTCTAGTTGGTCTTTTGTAAATTGTGTTTGTGTATTTTTCTCTGTTTGCCATGCATTCATGCACATCCGTGCCCCGATCCCATGCTGGGAGCTCAGTCTGACAGGGAGATAGCAACTTAAATATAGCCTGGGATCCAATGAAGGACAAGAAGGCTGTGGGAACAGGGGGGGCACCTAATCCTGACTGGGTTTAGAGAAAGTTGCTTACAGGTAGCTATAGAAAGGAAGTCCATAGGCACCATGGAATGCCCAAGAAGGGCAAAGGTCAAAATCATTTTAAAATACTGAGAATCAAACATGTTTACAGGCTGAGGGGAAGGCCAAGGGAAAGGAGAAGTTGAAAGTACAGGAGTTAGGTGAAGACTTGAGGTTCCTGTGGCAGAATGACGGGTTGACCTTAAGATGGCATCTCGGAAAAGACTTGACCTTGGGCTGACACAGGAGTGCCTGAGGATGAGGGGATGCTTGAACCCCCCCACCAAGGTGGTATGGACCACAGACCTGGAGGGATGGGTGAGGGTCAGCATGATCAGAAGGCATCTGGGAGGAGGTGTACAGGGAACTAATAGCATGAAGCTTCTAGTCCCATTTTCCTTATAGGATCCACCTGATGGCTGGCAGAGTACCCCAGGGGGCTGACCGAGCAGCAGTCACGGGTGAGATGGAGACAGTTTTTCTGGAGAACCTAAGGTATGCAGCTGGAGTTTTGGCTCAGGTAAGTGGAAATATGCATTTACATGTGTGTAGGGAGAGGGGTGCACAGTGAGGAGAGATGAGGCACAAGGGTGAGCACCTGCCCAGGTCCGACTGACAGGTGTGCTGGCCAGTAGTTGATGGAGAACAAACTTGGGAAGGAGTCCTATTCAGAATCCAATATGGTGCTAGGAGAACCTCGTGGGACTGCTGGAGCCCATTAATACGCGTATCACTGACCCCCAGTACTTCCTGGATACACCCCAGCAGGGTAGGAATCCAGCCTTGTTCTTCCTCCCATTCCTTTTGATTCCTATGGTCTCCATGAGTCTAATGGCTCCCCTCCCTGGCTTCTTTCCCAGCGGCTGCCATCTTACAGAAGGTTGGAAGACCCAACCTCCAATTACAAATGGTGAGTGGGAGGAAGGGGGTGCTTCTGAGAGCCTGTTCTCCAAATATAAGAAAAATGGTGGGAGACACCTGAGAGGTCCAACTATATAGTATTCTCTTCTCCAGGATATATTCCACTGGCAGATCATGGATGGGAACCTGACGGGAAACATTCGGGAGTTCCTGCCTATCATTGGTGAGAGGGCTCCCTTCCTTTGCACCTTCTCCATCTGCAGGGCTGCTTCCTTTGCCTGTCCACCCCTGTCTCTGTCTCTTAGGCCTCAACAGGAACCTGGCCCCATGTCTTTCCACATCTGTCCCTAGGGCACGTACAGGTGGCACAGGTCCCTGGCCGAGGGGAGCCAGGGAGCCCTGGAGAGCTGCATTTCCCCTATCTGTTCCAGCTGCTGGAAGATGAAGGCTACCAAGGCTTTGTGGGCTGTGAGTATCGGCCTCAAGGTGAGGTTCCAGGTGTAGCCCTGGGGAAGAAGTCTCTAGAGGGACAGGTATTGGACAGGGGCTATTTTTCTCTTGGTAAGTTGAGATGCCACTGCCTCCCTTTCCCTACAGGAGACACAGTAGAGGGTCTGAGTTGGCTACGTTCATACTGGGATAAGCGGGGCCACCCACGGGTTGTCCAGTGAGGTCCTGCACACTACTCACATGCCTCTCTGGGGCAATGAGTGAGTACCCCGAGTCGTCGTCTTTGAATTAAAGACAACTTACTGAACATTTTCATATGTGTATGTTATGGGGTAGAGGACACACAGTGTCTAATGCTTCAGTCTCCCATTGAGAAGGGACACACAGCTCATGCTCAAATCTTCCAGTTGGTGCCAGAGTTGCTGTGGGAAAAGGAGAGATTTTGAGCCTTCCTCCTCACTTACAAGTGAGGAACCAGGGTCCAAGAGTAAAGGAGCTTGATGCTGGTCACATGTGCTTCAAAGGCAGAGTTCAGATAGGAACCAAGGTTTCATCTCAATAGCAATGTCCGGCAGTGATGTCCAAGTGTGAATGAAGACCAAAAGGCTAAGGGGGGCAGGTGGCTAACAGTGACCATAGTGGGAGGCAGGATTCTGGCAGAGCTTAAGGGGTGAGTGCTTATTACCTGCTGTGAAGAATTCCCAAGACTCTAACAGGTGGACAGGAAGGAGTTGTCCCCTTATAGAAGGTCTAAGGAGTCTGAGAGGGGATGGGTGCCTTAGGGAGTTGACCTTACCCCCTAGAGTCCTGGGCTGGTCAGCAGCTACAAGTGTTTGGGGAAGTAGTCCCTGCTGCCAGGCTGCAGCAGTAAATCCCCAGAAGTATTCACAAAGCCTTTGGTGTCACTCAGTGTGCAAGTTAGCCCTGGAGCCTGAGAGGGCTGATTAGTCATGCCTCAGGTGGGCAATCTTACAGATTCATGATTCAATGTACAGTGGTGTCCAGTGGTCCACTTCCTCAGAGAAGGCGGGTCCAGAGGGTGAAACAGGCTGTATTGATGACGGACTCTAAGTGGTGGTAGGTGGAGACCAGCTGGGCAGGGGGACTCTCGCTGTCCTGAGGCTGTACTGGGAAGGGCTCTCGGAAAACCACTGTCAGAGACTGTGGGGAACACGGTAAGGGTGAGAGAAGGCCACAGAAAAGGACAGGGAGAAGGGCTCAGGAAGAGTAGGCACCCCAACCTCAGTAGGCTCTGAGGTGATCATCAGGAGTACAGCCTCCCACTGGGCTGACACAAAGTCCCCGTTCTCACCGTCTTTCCCAAGTGGGAGTCCAGAAACACTAGCACAAAACAGTCAGTGAACTTCTGATTCAGCACAACCTGTAGTGACAGATGATGTGAGATGGGGAGTGAGGTTTGTCTCACTGGGGGTGGGGTGCTGACCTCCTGCAGGGCATCCTGTGGAGATGGCAGGAAGAGGAAAGGCCTTCTACACCATGCCCAAGCCTAGCTGGACCTGTCTTTACGAAATCTCAGTCCACATGCTCAATGGCCTGCCAATCAGCCTGTCTCACCCTCCTCAAAATGATTCTAGAGGCCCCGCACAGAGCTTGGCACACTGAAGCCAACCAGCAAGGGAGAATTCACAATCCCTGGCATGATGTCTCCTCCATATTTCCTGTCCTGGGTCTCTTATCTCTGATCCCACCCTTGGAACTATCCCTTAATGTCCAGGTGCTCCCTAACACTTGGCTTTGGGATACAGCCCTGGGTGATTTCTCCTCCCTGCAAGGCTTCATACCACTTGTTCACATGGATGCTGCCTAGGTCTCTCTCCTGAGCGCAATCCCTGATCCACACACCTCTAGACAGTGAAGGTCCTTGGCTCAACTTGGCCCAGGCTGAGCTCATTACCCTTTTCCCAAACCCACTTCTGCTTCAGCATTCCCAACACTGCAGGAGCACCCTAAATGCCCATACCCACCTATACCACTGCAGCCTTGTCCTGATGGACCTTGGTTTCTGGATGACACTCAAGACATGGCTCCTCGCCACAAACCACCATGTTGCGGGGCCCCTCACTAGGCTCTGATGCCTACTTTCTCACTTGCAGTCTTTTCTCGAATGTCTCGTCTCCTGAATCACAGCTCTCACTGGGCCCATCTGGTTAGTCTCTGTAATTTCCTAGGTACGTGCCCACCACAGTAGTGCTTTTCTCCCTACCTGTCCTTTACAGCTGTGCTTTCAGACTTTATCATGTACACATCACCTGGGGATACTGCTAAGATGCAGATTTGAGTGTGTGTGTGAGGGTGCCATCTGCTTTTCAGCAAACTCCCATGTGATGCTGACACTGCTGATCTGAGGATCACACTTTGAGTAACCAGGTGTTAAAGCCCAGATTCCCTCTGGGACTCCAGACTCCAAGACCAATCACTGATGAATTTCTGAGAGCTCCTTGGGTTGCCAGTTCTAGAGCTTGGTCCTCAGAATTTCAAGTCCAGGTGTGTGTTCTTGGTGAGCCGTTGAGGGCAAAGCTCTTAGTTAATTCTCTGCAAATCACATGCTGGGGATAAATGCTCAAGGGTTTTACATGTATCTGTGTAGTCATATTCCATCTAGGTCTTACTCTAGGGAAGAGCTTGTGCAGTCTGGCTAAGCTCCTTGAGGGGGACATACGTCATCTTTGATGAGGATTTCTGTTATGATTCTCCTTTTGGAGGAGGGTCAAGGGAACTTACCAGGTACTGAGTTCCTAAATCTGGGCTCTGGAAATGGCGACAGCTCTGGGGGAAACGGCTCAGAAGAACCTTGATCAGGCTCTGGTACCAGGAGACCGTCATGGACAGGAAGCAGTCCTGGGAGAGGGTCCACAGCTCTGAATACACTGTTCCTGTATCTCCTAAGACTCCTTTACCCTCTTACCCTGGCTGTCTTTGGAATTTCTGGAGTCCAGTCTCTTACCAGCTGGGGGTCAATGTCTCCAATAGATTTGGCATGGACTGCCTCTAGGAGCTCTTCCAGCTCTGCCAGGGCCAGGCGCCCCCCAAGCCTTAGCCGGTCAGGTCCTGGTGGCTCCAGCAAGAAGAGGCGCTTCCAGAGGGTGTCCCGACGGCAGTGCCCACCAGCCAGCCGGACCAGCTGAGCCAGCCGTGCCCGGGCCATGCCCACCTCTGCAGCCAGTGGTGGGAACAAAGGAGCTGGCCCAGGGACTAGGACAAGCCCTGAGGCTTCCCCAGGGCTACCAGCTGAGCTCCCAGGAGCCTCTGGCTCAGGGGGCAGTCTGGGTGGCTTCCGGAACCGGCGCATGTCAGCAGTGAGTCTGGGGAAGAGTTCTCGTTGGCTGGTGAGCACCACGAAGAACTGCAGCCTGGTTTGGGGAGGGCAGGAGAGTGGGGGGTCACAGCAAGACACACACAGGGCAGGAGCAGGAGGCAGCTGGGAAAGGGGCATGTTCAAAGTGAGGGATCTGCTGACCGCAGAACATGCCGCTCAGCTTCTCCTTGCTCCTCAAAGGGTGCAGCACAGTGACAGACGAGCAGAGACACATCAAAGTCATCCTGGTGGCGAAGTCCCTCAGAGTCTAGGTAGGAGCCAGAGCTGTGCAGTGGGGGTGGGGAAGACGTCAATGAGACGCTAATGAAACCAACCCCACCTTTATGCCCAAGAAAACATGGGTCTCCCTATTTGTGAGTGTGACCCCAACCTCAGCCACAACATAGTGTGTTTCCAGTCTTACCTGTGCCATGCTGACACTAGGGCATATTCATTATGTTCTGGGCCCCCTGGCCGGGCCATACGTAGTGGCTTCATGTGGTAAGAGCTTGCATGATCAGCCACATAGTTGTACAGCTGGTGGGCAGCAATGAGTGGTGTGGGAAGCTCCAGTGTCCCTAAGGGGAAGGTCACAAAGACAGCAGACACTAAGCCTGGGACAGGCACTCTGATCTGGTGGGGTGGGGGTGGCAGTTGCTAGGGCTAACTGGCGAGTGGCTCTGCCTTCCTGGGGAGCTCTGAGTTTCTATGGAACATTGAGATAGGATGAAAAGAGACTCAGAACAGAGGGCAGGGTACACACGACATTGGGCCTAACTTTGATATGACAGACCCAGAATAGAAACGGGGACATAGGATGAATGATATGGGCAATTAACAATAGGGGACCACTTGCCCTGGCAGATGGTTCTACCAGCCCTGGAGACACCTTGTGGCCTGATCGTTTTGGGGTTCATTGGCTTGCTCTTGGGCACCAACCTTGGTAAATATGATTGCGGCCAAAGTGGGGTCCATCAGGGTGGTGGGCCAAGAAGTGTCGCAGGAAGGTGGTGAGGTGGTAGCCATGCCGCAGCACCAGGTGGGCACCCAGCACATGCTGGTGCACAAGGCGCAGGTGGAAGTCATAGCTGAAGGAGTGCACGTGCATCAGGTCTCGCACCTTGTCACACTCCTCTGTGAATAGCATGGACAGCTGGGGAGGCAGCAGCAGGGAACAAGCTATTAGCATGTGGCAGGACAGGCTGCCCAATTCATATTTCCCTCCTTCTGGAGAAGAGGAAGCTTGACAGATTTCCTCTGTTACTGTGGGCCTCGCAGAAATCCCTCTGCCAGAACAGCTTCTAGGGGAAACCCAGTACTCCTGTGGCTGGATGCAGTACTGGACTACCCAGGGTTACACTGGTAGGTGGTTCAGTCACAGCACCAGAATGCAGAATGACCACTGACGTAGCCAGGCTATGGCACCAGATCAATCACTGGGCCAGACTGCTCACTACATTCTTTGAGGCAGGATTTCCCTATGTTGCCAGGCTGGTCTTGAACTCCTAGGCTCAAATGATCCTCTTGCCCCAGTCCCCTGAGTAGCTGGGACTACACCTGATTTATTTTCATTTTTTGTTGTTATTGTTGGACCTTTATTTTTTTGTATGTGGTGCTGAAGACTGAACACATGCTAAACAAGCACTTTAGCACTGAGCCACAATCTCGGCCCTTATTCTCAGTTTTTAATACCATATTATCACTCTAGAACCATTCTGAGAGGCTGGGTCTTTTTACTCAGTATCCTAGACCCCACCAGAGTCTAGCCTCCTCTACACTTTGTACCTGTGTGCCCTTCACTGAGAAGGCTGTTCTCCCTGAACCCAACCTGGCTAACTCCTACTTGCTCTTCAAGCTTTCTCTGGAACACTCCCCCAGGTGGGATAGGTATCCTGATCTGTTGGGGTGTGGGTGGCAATTGTTAAGGCTAGGCCTGCCTGCCTGCCTGTGAATGAACCACTGATGGAAGAAGGAAGGCAGACTGAGACATGAAACGGGTATGAGTCTTGGTGGAAATCACCATAACTGTTAAAAACTGGATGTGTGGTGCTGGCATGGCAGAATGTACCTAGCCACTCTGGGGGCACTGGGCTTATGAGTTAATAGGGCAGGAAACAAATGACTGTAGGATTCAAGACTAGTTTATGACCTTGCATAGTCACAATCTCTGTGTGCTTCAGTTTCCTCACCTGCCATGGAGATAATGAGCTTCTTTTAGAGAAGCTCCTGAATTACAGCTAGTGTGATGAAACAAACAAGGAGAGCTGAGATTTCAACCCCAACAGTGCCCCTGATGAGCTGTGTGTCCAGGGACAATCCTCTATGAACCTGTCTCCTTATCTAAAGAAATATTGTTTTTACCTAGTATATACACTAAGCACTTCATGGACAATGATAATCATGAAGCAACTTAGCAACCTGGGCAGTGTTAGATAAGAGAGGGCATAGCTGGAGGGAGATCAGGGGACACTGAAGCCAGAAGGAAGCTCAGGAAAGTAATGGGGGTGGGTCTTTCCCTTCAATTCTACAGGGAGGTCAAGAAGCCCATCCATACTTCCCTTCTGAGCACTCTGGCCCAAGCAGTTTCTTGCAAATAAATGTACCACGCTTTTTTCTGAGTCACATTATCCTGTGATCTTCAGTGACCCGGTATCCACACATAAATCAAAGGCAACCATCTACGGCTAGATAGGAGCTGCCAGTATGAGCCCCACACAATGGAGAGAAGTCTATGCTCTCTGAACTGGACCCTGTCAGATCCTAATCCTTCAGAAAGGTAAATACTAGGCAAGGCCCTAGAGTGGCATTCCTGGAAACCTGAGGAGCTGAACTAACTAAACACAGCAAGGGCTCCAGGTCCCTGACCTCACCTGATACCCAACTCTGTGAGCATTCCTGAGTGAGTGCTTGGCTCTCCTGAGATACAGAGGTCTGGCCTGGAGGCAGACTGGCAGGGACATAAATAACAACTTAAGTGCCAGGGGTACACTGTGTGGGTCAGAACTATGGTCCTCATTCGCAGTGTTAGTGACATACAGACAATGCCAGGCTGTCTCCATCTCTAGATTAGACCAGGATGGTGCATGGCACTGACCTACCCACTGTGCTCAAATGTCCTTATTGTTCAGCTATCCACAGTTATGCATGACCACTGTGGTAGCTATTGTTAGTGCCAGAAGACCATAGACTGCCTTCTGCCTTGGTGCTGTGGCTGGATGCAGTACTGGACTACCCAGGGTTACACTGGTAGGTGGTTCAGTCACAGCACCAGAATGCAGAATGACCACTGACGTAGCCAGGCTATGGCACCAGATCAATCACTGGGCCAGCCTGCCCGCTACGTTATTTTTATTACCCACTAGATAGATCATGGAGCCATGCTGCCCACAGTACATTGTTGAGGCTGCACTGACTATGCCTAAGCATTGTCCATCACCTACCTTGGTCCCTCTCACATACCTGAGAGTTGACAGCCTGCCCCATTGGGATTCGGGAACATTCCAAGGCAAACTGTTTGACACAGAAGTAACAGCCCTGCAGGGAGGGTAAGATGGAGTCCGGTGAGTGAGAGACAGGTGGGTTTGGTTCTTTCCACTCAGTGATTCCCCATGCTCACCTGGAAAGTTAACTCCATGAGGATGATGCCTCCAGGTAGCGCACGCTGCAGGTGGTAGGTAGTGACTGGAGAGCCAGAACTCTGAAGGAAGGAAAAGCGGGGCAAGTCTTGGGGGCTCAGCAGCCTTGAACCAACCAGCAGGATAGAAGTCCTTTGGGTCCCTGGCTTTAGTGGTGTCAGTCTGGGCTCAGCAACCTCAGACTATTACTCAGGGCCACTAATCTGGTGCCTTGGAGAAATAATCCAGGGTTGTTGACACTTGCTAACTGCAAGATTATATGAAACTGAGTTACCTTGGGGCTCCCCTCAGTCTTGGTTTTTGGGCAGGAGAAGGAGCCTCGACTTTCTGTTCCAAGGACAGCCATGGCACGCAGCCGGCTGGTGCTGTAGGAAACAGAGAAAGGCAAGGGGTTGAAGCAGGCTAGGGGGTGAAGGATTATTGTTAGCAGACCATTTTACATGGAACTGTTTTGTAGGAAATGAAACAGGCTCAGAAAGGGGACCTGCTCAGGGTCCCACAGTGAGCAAGTGACAAGACTGGGCCTAGAGTCTAGGTCTAGACAGCAGGGCAAAGCTCTCCACAGCTGATGCTGCTCTATGGGTGAGTGAATTGTGCTTCATGGGGAGGGGAGCACATCCTGGTTCTCTACTAGTAGAGAGGAGGGGAGAACACAAGAGGGAGGAGGAAGATGAAGCCTAAGACTTCATTAGGAAAATTCAAGGAGATGCTTGATGTCCTTATTAAGAACTCTCTTCTCAGAGGGAAGAGTTGTTCTCTTTTGATTAGAGAATGGTGGTCCCAGCATTTCATAAGCCTACTGTTCTTTATTCTTAATTGGGAAGCAAGGGGAGATGAGAAGAAGGAAAGGACAGTAAACAAAACAGAAAGGGTCTCATTTATTTATACCAAGCAGCCATAAACTGCCAGAACTCTTGCTGGGGGTCAAAACTTGGGTCACTGGCAGACAAAATGTCCCATTTAATCCTCAAGAAAATTGAAATAAGACTTAAGTAGTGATTGGTGATCATCAAAGATTGGTGAGAAAGGAAGGCTTGACTATAAATTGTTTTTTAAACCTAATGTCTTATAAAAAGGAATTGAGGACTTGGGATATTGCTCAGTGGTAGAGCACTTACACCCCAGTTTGATCCTCAGCATTACAAAGAAAAAAAAAGAAATTCAGATTTCATAATCAAAGAGATATAACAAAGAGGTATAAACTACAGTCTTTTAGAGAAGCTCCTAAAGCTAGGCACTGGCTGTCCAGGGAACCACACTAAGCCACTCCTCACTGGGATTGTGGAGGAGTGAGCTGGTCACTGTGAATCAGGGATGGGGCTCCCAGGAGGGGCCTTCTCTTCCTAGTACCTGGACAAGAGAGGTATGCCTGGGAAGAAGAGAGGTGGTTACAAAAACACCAATGAGTCAGAATTGGCTTTCTGGACCAAGGAGTTGTCTTGGGTAAGAAAGAAGTATATTTTATACTTAAAAAAAAATATCTATATCTATATATATATAAAAAACAGAAGCTGGGTATAGTGGTTCACACCTGTATTCTTAGCAACTGGGAAGGATGAGGTGGAAGGATTGCAAATTCAAGGCCAGCCTTAGAACTTAGTGAGATCTTGTTTCAAAAAAAAAAAAAAAAAGTTGGGGGACAGATGCTTGGGATGGGGATGTAGCTTGCTGGTAAAGAGCCCCTACATTCAATCCCCAGTACCCCAAACAAACAAATAAATAAAAGTATCTAACTGAAAATGGAGAGGGGCAAGAAAATGTCTTGATAAAGTTACAAGTATGAAGACACAAAAGTAACTGTGTGTGATGTGAACAGACCATTTTTCTCACATAGCCACTGGGAAGGGACTGGGAACACAGACCTTGAAGACCTCAAAAACAGGACTCTGAGATCTGATGCAAGATGGGAAATGTGGCCACAGGGCTGCCAGTGAGTGCAGGGGGAAATGAAGGTGGTAAGAGAAGGAGCTTCCTTCCAAAGAGTCAGACCTGACAGTAGGGCCAGGGAGAGACATGACCAAGAACAGGTCACTGACAGTGATGCAAGTAGGCCCAAGGCAAATGTCCTTGGTAAGAAAAGGACACTGGATCTCAAGAGGCCAAAAGGATGACCAGCACACAAATCAGTGAGACCTAGACACAAAAGCTTATTAGAAGCTTTTGGGCCCAGGGGAACAAGGACTAAAGATCTCAGGCTCTGAATCCCAATTGGAGGAGAGGGATACTCATTTATACGAGATTCATGTGTGTATGAACATATGAACAAACATATAAACACATGAGGTGTGGGTGGGCACAAACTCAGTGAGACTGCACCCAGTTCTGTATGGATGTGCTCATGAGTTCTGTGAATTTTATGAGGTTTGCAGGACATGCATGAAGGCTGCATGGGAGTGTCCAAGATCCTCATGTATGCATGCCATCCAGTCGGATGAACATATACAAGGTTGAAGTTGTCAAAGTAGGAACCATGTGAAGAGGAAGGGCTATGAAGAGGGAAGGAGGGGCAGGCTCACCTGCGAGCGGGTGAAGGGGGCCGCAGTGGAACCAGCACAAAGCCTATGCTCTGCAGATACTGCACATATTGCTGCAGGAAGGCTAAGCTGAGCTCCTTCAGCCAAGGCTCCTCACGGGCTCCTGGTGGAGGCATATCCAAGGATTCACAGCTTGTGGGAGCCTCTCGACTCCCAGACCCTGACTCAGGGCGATGGCGCCTCTGTGGGAATGGAAATGAAGGTTCTACCCACTGTCAACCACCCAGACAGGGGTGGAGGAATGAAGGCCACTGTGGGGGTGAACAGATCTATGGGGAGAAATTTTGGAGTCTGAAGCATCACCTGTCCTTCAGGGGGCCCAGATGTCTCTGGGGGTCCATGCAGCCACGCAGCTGGGTCGAAGAGCAGAGCTGTCGCACAGTAATGCACAAGGCGGGATGACTGTTTTAGGGTCTCCAGCTCTCCAGCCTGGGGATAGGGGGCAGTGAGCAATAGAGCAGTGGTTGGGGAAGGGCACAGGATTCCCATGGTGGATGCAGGTTGGGGTAACTTACACTGATGGGCATGCTGGCTGGGGCAGAACGCTGCTGCCAGGTTACAAACAGGTTCTCCATCTTCATCTGGCGCTCCAGCTCTGAGTGTAGGGGACATTAGTAGTAGCCCCAGGAGCTGTCACCCCTCTCCCTCCCAGATTCCACAGATTTCCCCTCCCTACTGCTTGGCTCAGGGCCCTCACCCCTGCGTTCTGACATCTTGATCTCCAGGAACTGTTGTCCATGGTAGGTGACAGGATCAGGAGGTCTGGGCACAGGACCAAGGGTGGAGCTAGAGCGGGTAGCCGTGATGTCCCTCAGAGCTTCGTCGAAGGGGAATGTGTCCAGAGGAAGAGGACCCCCTCCACGAGAGGACCCACTCAGCCGGCCCTGCTCGCGGCTCAGTGGGGGACTAGCACTCCGGATGAGGGTCTCCACTTCCATGGTTGGAAGCAGGAATGGGTTTGGCTCCTGGGAGAGATGGAGGGTCACAATGGGCTTGTGGCATTTGCCCCAGACCCTCTATCACTCCGGGGTTTCCTATGACTCCTTCCCTGCTACCTCTGCCTTTAATCTGTCCCTTCCCTACTGCATCATTTCACTAGCTTCTAGCCAGAGCCAGAGGGGGAGCCAGACCAAATACCTTTTCATCTCGCACGGGGAAGTCCAACTGGCCATAATGATGGAAGAGCCCAAGCTTTTGGCTGAGTAGGCAGAAGATAAGATGGGCCCGTGCATTTTGCCACTGCACAAGGCGAACCAGTGCTCGGCCTAAGGCTGCCCCCAGGTCTGGAGCCCAGTTGTAGGTCAGCAGCTGTAGCTGTAGGTTAGGGGTTGGGTCAGTGGGGTCACAGAATCATTCCCCCCCAAGTCCTTGACCCCACATTTACCTTTTTGTCCACAACCTCCAGCAGTAAGAGCCTCTGTCGGGGAGCATTTCGCCCTGAGCTCCCGTCTCCTCCTGGCTCAAAGCGCTGCACAGCTTTGGCAGCTATAGGGTGGGGAGAAGCATGATGGAGGTCTGTGTGCAGATTACCCTTGATCCCACCCAGCCCCTTGCAGGGTCAGAGACACTTATGTCACCCAAGCCCACCCTCCCCTTGGCCACACCCTCACCCTGCTGGGTTGGTCTCCTCCACTGCATGAAGTTCCTTCCCAGAAGCAGCAGATGTCGCTCAGCTGCTGGGCGGGGGGCTGGGCCCAGTTGCCCAGGGGAACAAGGACTGAAGATGTCAGGCTCTGAACCCCTATTGGAGGGGAGGGGTACTCAGAAAGGAGACCATCCATGGCCCCATTCCCTGGCCCAGCTTTCACCTCCCTGGGCCAAGTTCCCACCTCTCCAAGCTCAGCTTCTATGAGTTTGGCTTCCCATAAATGCAGCTTTTGGGACATCTGGGAAAATTCCCTTCAATTCCATGAGATCCCACTTACAAATGCTGCTCAAAGACACGGACACTGGTGTCGCCAGCCATTGAGGTAACCAGAGTGGTGAACTCAGACAAAATGGAAGGAAGGAGGAATCGGGACACCATGTGGGTGGAGCTTCTGGACACTGAGGCACAACCTGGAAGGCAGAATGTAACTATGACACTGCAGGATAATAGAATAGGCCAGGGGTTCAAAGGATAGGAAAGGGGCTGGGGTCTCACCAATCTGAACCATAAACTCCATCCAGTGCTGAATGACATGAGCAAACACAGGGTGAAGGGTTCCCACTTCACCTTCCTCTAGCTGTGCAGTCCGGCGTCTAAAGACAGAGCAAGAGTTAAGAACTTTACTTCCACATACGATACACATTTATACAAACCAAATGCCCATCCGTGACCTCACACCACCTCCTGTAACACAACACCTCAGCATACACATATGTACCGTTGTCTCTGGGCTCCAGAATCTGGGCCTGGTGCTCGTTCAGTTCCACCTGGAGTCCGAACACTCTCAGTTTTATGACGCCTCCTACCTCTAGTGTCTTCCGGTCGATCCAGAACAATATCATCAGTTGTTTTTGGGGAACCCAAATCCCCACCTTCTGTTTTACTCTGGGGAAAATGCAGTGAATGAGGAAGGGCTATTGGGAAGAGGAAGGGGGTGGAACAGTAATGGGCTCAGGGATTTGGAAGCCTGGGTTCTCAAGGCCAACTAAGCAGCCCTGGGCAGGTTACTTAACTTTCCTGAGCTTTATTTTTCTCATGTGAAAAATTTCTACTTATCAGGGTATTGTGGAGACCCAACAAGAAAAATGGAAGTGAAAGCATTTATTAATTTTGGGCTGTCGATATCAGTGAGAACTTGCCATGTTCTATAAATTGCTATTCAAAGAACAGAGTAGTCTTATTTCAAAAGAGAACTGTGGCAAAGTCTAAAGGAGGCAAAGAAGGTAGAGGCCAACTTCACCACTTGTTCCCATTACCAGCATGTCCCAGAAGCTACGCCGGCCAGCTTTGCTGGGTGGAGTCACAGGTTCCCCAGGGACAGGGGCAGGGGGAAAGGTGCTAGATCGGCCTGCAGGGCTCTTGGTTTCCAATGACCCGCTCCTGAGACTTCCTGTGGATACCAGATTACAGACTCCTATCACTGGTCATCAATCCTCACTGTAGACAAGCCAGCCCCAAGACCAGTATGCCTTGCCATCTACTCTATTAGTAAACACTGATAATGTTTCAGCTGCATGTGTTTGTGATATGAGTTCCTGAGGACAGACCCCTCCCTGGTGGTGACCAGATGCATGCATACACTTCCACCTTGATGATGCATACAGCCAAAGTGATGGACAACTGTGAATGTATATTTTTGATGGGGCCTCTGTGATACTTTCTCTGAACCCTACCTTTGTACTGTTACCTGCCAAACTGTCCTGCCTGGATTTTCAACTTTTTCTGGACTATGGGGGTGGGGCTCTTGACCTGCTTACCTGGGGGTGTATCCTCTGTACATAGTGAAGCTGGCAGCAGTCTCAGCTCCATGACAGCATCAGCAAGGGCCTGGCGAGCTGCTCCCCGGAGCTTCTCTTCCAGTTGCACGATGCTAATGTTCCCCTTTTCCCAAACATCCAATCGAAGCCTTGGGGCCCCATTCTGAGCTGGAGGAAAGAACTGGAATCACCTGGGGGTACACCTAGATCCTACCCTACTTACCACCCTTGTCTTCCCCAGCACTGACTGAACACCCCATGCTCTGGCCAAGCTTCCCCACCTGAAGAACTGTCCAGCATGACTGGGCAGCGAATGACCTGAGTTAGTTGCTCAAATTCCTCTTCTCGCAGCAGGTCTGGGGGCCCCGGGGAAGAGGGAGGCCACGATGCCAATGAGATGGGGGCCCCTCCTTCATCCACAAAGGCTAGAGTGATGCAAGCGACCCCTGGGTAGAAATCCATAGGAAGGCTCAGATCTGGCACTTGCAGACCTCCCCTCCCAAGACCCCTCAGTTGCAAGGTGCAAAAGGCCCTCTCAGCCACAAGACAAGCAATGGCTTTCCCACACCTGGTAGCACCACAGGCCTGTGCCCTGTACTGTACCTTTGCCCCCAGTGCCCTGTCCACCAGGCTTGTTATATAAGTAGATGTCCAAGTCAGGGAGGCCACCCTGTGGTGGGAGTGGATGCTGGGGAGAGAACAGCCACAGAACACTAAGATGGACATCCACAGTAGGAAAGTGGGTACAGGTATACATAGGAGCACAAGAAGACACAGGCAGACAATGAATGTGAGTCGGGGCTGGGTGTGCACAGGTCCACAGGCAAAGGTACAAATGGGGTATCTGTAGAAAACATTTATGGTCAGGGTGTGCAGGGGGCAGGGGTACATATGAGTGTGAGAGGTGAGGGCAATCTTACTTGGAAGTGGTTCCGGCTGTTGCTGTCTGTGTATTTGGGAGAGTGCAGAAAGATGAGCAGGTTTTGGCGCAGGTACCAGGCCAGAGCAGGAAGCCACGGCCTGCAGGAGGCAGGTAGGGCCAGATGCAATACCTCTGAGGGGAGGCTTCCAGGGGGCTGGATGAACTGCAGAGTGGAAGAGGAGGTCAGAGCTGACTGCAGAATTTCCAGCCTAGATTGCCCCAACACCTATAGCTGGACTTGAGAAGGATGTTGGACTCTGGAAGGGAGCTGACCTCCACATCAGCAGGTGTCAGTTTGCAGTTTCGAACCAGCATGACTGTGATGACATCCAGTGTGGCCTCATCCAGGCGCCGCCGCAGAACCCGCACTAGCTCATCTGTGATCTCAGGACCTTGACGTGGCCATGATGAAAGGTGAGACACTGGGAGAGAATCCAGCTATTCCAACGCTAGCCCTAATGATCCCTTGTGAGGCACTACGTTCTATTCTGCCAAGCTACTCACTATGACTGTGGACACATGAGTTGTACCTCAAAGCCGCAGGGCCCTCATCCATAAATAAGAATTACAGTAGTACCAAACTCACAGATGTATCACAAAGATTAAAGGAGAGGGTGCAAAATAGCCATATCCTGAGATCTGGCACAGAGTACCTGGACCCCACAGGCTCAACACAGCCCCAAATGAACCAATCATCTTCACCCTAGCTAGCTGGTGGAGCCACCATCTATCCTAGAGTTACCAGGATCTTCTTCTCAAGCTGCATTTCAATTGGCTATGAGTCCAATCCCCTAAATATCACTGGAGTCTGTCCTCTCCCACTCTATTCTTGCTAGAGCAAAACCCAGAGCATAATAGGAACTCGAGGAAGGATTCCAGGGGAGAGTAGGGGGAAGCTGTAAGAGAAGTTCCAGAGGATTTGAGGATTCGGGGACCTCATGGTCCACACCCCAACCCCCCATAGTCCTTACCTGCCTGCCCTACACCATGCACTAGCAGCTGGATATGTCTGTCCACTTGGCCCACAGGGCGAGCAGTATCTGAATTACGGCTGGAAGCCACATCCAGGGGAGAACGAGGACCCTACAGGGACAAATATGGTCAAGACCCATGTCCAGGGAGCAAAGTACAAAGGGAACACAGGGCATCGGGAGAGGGAACAATACGTGCCGAGGATTCCTCAGAGTAGATGGGCTCCTGGCTTCGGGACAGAGCTAGGGAAGGCGGCAAAGCATCCCCTTCCCATGGCCGGTCACTGCAGGATGTCTCCAGAAGCCTGGGAAAGAGTGGCAAAGTCTCTGGATATGTCTCCTCTCATGCCATCCCTGACTCAAGCTTTACTCCATCTTTCCAGGGCCCACATACCGAAGATAGTACACAGCTTTTGTGGCTCGCTCCTGATAAACAAACATATTCTTCCGGTTCACCACAGAGAAGGCATTAAGCACAGAGCGCAGGGCCTGGATGGCTGGGGGAGTAACACTAGCTCAGGAAGAGGATCTTCCCCAAATCCTCTGCTTCCCACTTGCCCCTCCCATCAATCACATACCCCGAGAGACCCCCATACTGGGCCCCATCTTGAGGCGTGAGTGGACTCGGATTATAGTTCCCCATACAACGTCACAGGAGAAATGTCCAGGGACAAACTGCATTGTGGCTGCTAGGTACCCTCGGGGTGCACAGCTCTCATCAGCAGCATAATCTGAAGGGAGGGAGAACATGGGTAAGAAACAGGGCACTCAGCCCCTACCCTCCAGACTGCTCACCTGAGGACTATCTGACTTGCCACTCTCCCAGATTCTTCATCACCATCTATTCCCAGGGAAAGATGAATTCTTTGGGTAACAAGAAGGGCCAGGCAGAGTCATGCCCTTAGGAAGACAGATCATTGCACACAGACTTTCAAGGAGACTCAGAGAAGGAGCTAAGGAGAAGTGTGGAGAAAGGTACAGTATGAGACAATCCTGAAGACAATGCCAAGGGATTCTGGCCTGTCATAACATGTCAGTGGCACTATAAGCCACTGTTCTCACAGGGGGTTTGCAACAGTAACGTCATTAAAATAAAAAGACTATGTACACCAGCTGCAGAGAGTGAATGTCCTGTGCTTTGGAGGCCAGATATCTCAATGGGTGGTATAGTGGTACCCAAGAGCCCCTGGCCACAGTCCAATGCTTTGTTTGATCCTTTTCAGGTTTCTGTGTTGATGAGAAATCTTTCAGGAGGTCAAAGAGGCAATCTGGTTTCCCAAGATGCTGCTGTCAGGTATCAGAAGCATAGAGGATACCAGGAGACTTCAAAGTTTCTGTGTAGAAACTCTGGCACAGAATGATGGTTGCTAAGGGTTTCAGGGAAAAAATATGGAGATTAAAATGAGGAAGAGTTGTGTCTGGGTTCTGACTGGTCTTACATCCCAGGCTACTGGGAGTCATCTTAGAGTGATGGTTGTCCTGGCTCATCCTCAATTTACAGAAATTGCCTTCAAAATCATGGGAGTTTGCTAATTATGGGAGTCTGCTTTAATATGGGGAACATATCAGGATGTGCTGAGAGGTGCACTCTCCTGTTGATGTTAGAAAAGTTGTCTATGGGACTGGGGATGTAGCTCAGTGGTAGAGCACTTGCTTGGCATGCATGAGGCCCTGGTTCAATCCCCAGTATACAAGCACACACAAGTCATCTACAGAACAGCTGAGAATGTTAAAAGTAAGAAGTGGTGTGATTTTTAAGGAAAGACTGCAAAAAAATGACATGATTTAGCTTTTCCTTTATGGACTGGGATGACAGGTCATCTGGAAAAAGAAAAGGGAGCTGAAGTTTTGAGACTTGAATTACCAAGTAGATGCCAGACATCCCAGGAATCCCAAAGGAGTCCTGCCTGCCAGTCTGGTGGCCAATCCTTCAATGGGACCTCAGGCTCCTCCCCTCTGGTCTTTTCTCACCTGGGAACTTGTTCTCATTCCCCCAGACTCCTCATCACTGTCTATCCCCCTGATGGGGAAAGATGAACATTTTGGGTAACAAGACACGGCCAGGTGCAGGTGTGCCCTTCGGAAGACAGGTCATAGCATTGTGTCCCTTCAATCTTTTTTTTTTTTCCCTGTATTCTTCAACCTCTCTTCCCCTTACTGGTTCTTTCTCTATAGAACATGAACATACTCAAGTCTCTATCTTATTTTGTTTTTTTTGGTGGGGGTGGTACTGGGGATTGAACTCAGGGGCATTCAACTAATGAGGCATATTCTCAGCCCTTTTTTGTATTTTATTTAGAGGCCTCATTTTTGCTGAGGCTGGCTTTAAGCTCGCACTCCTTCTGCCTCAGCCTCCCGGGCCATGAGGATTACAAGCATGCGCCTCGACATCTGGCATCTACCTTATTTTGAGGTTCCTTCCTTGCCCCCATCTTCCTTCTGTTACTGCCACATCTATTTTCTCTTTCTCTTACTGCCAAGCTAATTGGTAGAGTAGTTATTCTTTGCTCCACCTGTCTATCTGTGCTTTTCCATTTCATCTGGTTTCTATTCCCCCTCTCTACTGAAACTGCTTCCAGGAATGTCACTGACAAACTAGAAGCAGCCAAATCCAGGAATTTTTTTCCCTATTATCCTTGCTCTCTATTACTTGGCACCAATGTCAAAATAGTGAGGACCTGCTCTCAGCTTCTCATCAAAGTACTGGATAGAAAAGTGGACAGCAGTATTGCCTTGAGAGGGGGCTACTAGGTGGGATCCTACCATCACTGGGGAGTGGTGCCCGCTGACGGGAGTGGAAGGGGGTCTCACTGCGCCATAGATCTTCTTCACTCTCGGCCACCAGAAGAGAGTTACACACGTGACTGTCATGAAGATCTTGAAGAAGCAATCTCTGGGAGAAGGAACAAGGTGTCAGAGAACTGAAGTATTCCTCATAAGTGGATGTTGGGTGGGCTGATCAAAGGCCAGAGAGAATGACCACTATCACTGGGGGTCAGATGTCAAAACACCTGTAATCAGAAATGGTGTCCCATGGTAACAGAGTTCAGGGCTCTGAGAGCAAACCCAGTGAGAAGCATTTGTCCCTCCTCTTGGCCAGAATCTGATCATATCCTTCAGGTCTCAACTTAAAAACCACTTATTTTCTCTAAAAAGCCTTCCCTAATACTCTGGCTTATCAGATCCCTGATCTCTTGCTTTTCCTTTGCAGAATTCTTCACAGTTGTCAATAAATAATGTGATTTAGTTATTCAACATCTACCTCCCTGCTGTACGTAAGGTCCACAGAATCAGGGTTTCCTTTGTCTGGTTCATATTAAATCCCTAATGCTAGCACACTGCAAGGAAAGGGAACATTTCAGAGTTACTGGGAGGGAATGAGAGAGTGACCCACTATTATAAGAGGTGAGATGGAGAGCTCCCCAGTCTGCAGTGAGGTGGGGAAGTAATAGCATTCTAGTAATTGTAGGGGAGGTCAAAGAAAACACCCAATAGTTATTTTTGGGTCTGCAGTGGAGCAATAGCCTCTGAAAATCAAGTTCCCAGAAACTCCCTTCTCCTGTGATCTATGCCTCAGTGTCCGAAGAGCCCTTCCCTTGGCTATGCTTACCTGGTTGACCTCTCTGCAGATCTCCCCAACTCGCCTCACCAGGAGCTGCTGCAGGTGGCGACACTCAGTGACGGGCCCCCCATCCTCCCGGATCAGGCTCCTAGGAAGGAAGGATGAATCCAACACAGAACTGGCAGGAGATTTTAACTGTCAAAAATGGGAGGGCAGGTCATGGAGGTCATGACCAAGGGAAACCATAAAAAGGAGAAAGGATTGGACAAGGGAAGTAAACCTAATGGGAAATGGTAAAAATGGAATTCTTAGAGCAATTCTAAGAGCTTAGGCTCCTTGCTTGCCTTGCCAGTTGGCACCACATTAAGATTTCCATCACTTCTTTAATCTCAAATCCTGGTCAGAATGGTGGTCTTCCTTGCTGTCAACCCCACCCAAGGGAACAGAGTGGTATTTAAGCAGATGCCCATGAACTCTAGCTCTGGCATTTACTGTGACCTTGGGCAAGTATTTAATTTCTTTTGCTTGAGTTTCTTCATACCATTAGGGTAAGATTAGGTAAGGTTATTTATACAGATTAAATGCGTTAATCCCATGTAAAATGCTAGAATAGTGTGTATGTATTTTATGTACTTGTTAAATATCAGCTATTATTCCTTATTTTTATATATCAACCTCTGAAGTTGCTCTGAATGGTAGATGTTTTTAATGTTCAGCTAGAATCCAAATTCTCCATCAGCTTTCCAATTCCATTAACAAAGTCTAAAGTTATGTGTTTTGCTAGATGTGAGAAGAGATCTGAAGCTCTAACCTTAGAATTGAATCCAGATTCCTCTGAAGCTCTCAGTCCCAAGTCTTTTTTTTTTTTTTTTCTGATGCTGGGGATTGAACCCATGGCGTCTTGCATGCGAGGCAAGTACTCTACCAACTGAGCTATATCCCCAGGCCCCAAGTCTTGTTTTTAACAACACTGAAGAAAGGTGTGGGAACAGGGAAAAGAGGTTAGTAGCAGTGCCAGGGTGTAGGCCCTGGCTTCTACTCACTGTGCATGTGCATACACTTCCACACGATCCTGTAGTATTCGGACAATGAGCCAGAAGTCAGGCAGGCAGGGCCCAGGAAGGACTGAGAGTGAAGGCTGCAGAGATGCTTGCCCAGGTGGAGTCCGCAATGTGAAGGGGGCCTTCTCACTGAGGGTCTCATTTGGACCTTCACTGTCTGAGCCACTACTGCCACCATCATAACCTGTATCAAATGTGCTGAAGTTTATTCCCATCCTGAACTGAGCCTGACTTGTCTGGGCCTCCAAGAACATCAGGCTTGAAGGTCCTCTTCAAATGAGCCCCTTCTGATGCCCCCTGCCATCAGCTTAGAGTCCTCTGTCCCTGCCCCCTGCTTACCTAGGTGGTCTGAGTCCACACTACCTTGACTGGATATAAGGCTTAGTCCCCGACTGGGCCCAGGCTGACTCCCTGAATAGAGAAGGAAAATATCTGGAGTTCCTTTTGGTCCTGCCTAGGGCTTCCCTCCAAAAATGAAAGCAGGACAAGTAAGCTTCAAGTCTCTGGTTCTGGTCTCCAAACTTTGCTTCCCAAATTCTCTCTTACCTGCTTGTGGCAGGTTGGGTAGAATGATAAGAGGGGTGCCTTCAGAATCCTCTGGGGAGCCAGGGGCTTGGGGACTGGTGATCAGGGGCTGCAAGACAGAATATCAAGACTGAAGTACAGTGCCACATACCCACTACCACCTCCCTCTACCCCAGGTCAGACTTACCTCCCTTTGGATGCCTTCAGTCCTGTCCTCATTGCTGTGCCAAGCCCAGGTCACTGCAGGGGTCTCCCCATGGGACCCACCTGGCTGTTGGCCAGCTGCCACAAAGAAGAAGCCACTGTCAGGGTCCTCAAGGAGAGCATGGCCAGGGAGGTGGAGGCGGCGGAACTCCTGGGGAGCAGAGACCAAGGTTGTAATTTAGGCAGGAGTAGCCCTCTCTATATAAGGTGACTACACTTCCTCACTAGATACTCCCAGCTACCTGGTGAAGAAGATGCCAGCATCCCTATTGCTGAGGTAAGAAAAGGTTTGGTGACTTTCCAAGGTTCAACAGACCCAGTGACAAGATTGGAGGCTGGGTTTTGTTCTACTGAGTTGGGCTTTTAGGCATAGGGGTGAAGAGCAGACAATATTGTGAGGAGGTATTCAAGAAGGATAATTCCATGGACTAAACTTTGGGCCCTCTAGTCCTGTGCTAGAAGGTACAAGGAGGGGTGCCCAAGGGACCTTGGAGTGTTCTGAGAGCAGATTACCTCCTTGAATTGCGTGAGGGAACGCTCTGGCCCAAACACAAAACTCAGTGGCAGAGTTTGGCGAAGGCAGGTGGAGCGTCCAGGAGAGCTATGGATGTGGGCAGCTACTCGGTGCAGGGCAGGGCTCTGGGGGATGCCCCCTCTTCGGAGTGCCCCCACCATCTCATCTTCTAACAACCAGCGGATCTAGGAAGAACAACGCAGGAAGTGGTAAAGTGCATCTTTCTTGATTACTGGAGCATTACCTCACTCCCAGACTAGAAAATACTAGATGATACTCTGGCTCAGACTGAGAAAAGCCTCACTTTAATCCCAGAATAAAGGGGGGTACTTTTCTCATGTATACGATAGAAAGGTTATCAGAGCACTGGGAGCTATTGCTTGCACTGGGGGAGAGAAGGCCCTCACCTCACTCATGGTGGTCTCGATAGCCAGTCTGTGGGGTGTGGCCAAACTGGACAGTCCTTGGTGCCTAAGTGGAAGGAAGATTCAGATACTGGTTTCCAGGAATGAAACTGAGGGGGAGTGATGAACTGTGAGAGGGAGATAAGTATATACCTCTCTTCTTCTGGGGGTGGTAGTGGGGGTCCCAGGCCATCATCTGACCTTAAAGATGATGGCTGCCCTGGGGACCGTGGGAATGAAGCACTGCTCTCAGATGTTGATCTAAACAGGGTAGAAACAAAGGTCAGGAGACACTACCCCCCGGAACCTCCTCAAAGTCTCCTTAGTTCCCACATTCCCTTATATTCCTTTAATGGTGCCCCTATTCCCACAAAAGTCCTAGACCCTCCACCAAGCTTGCTGCCACCACACCTGTGGTGCTGAGGGTCCGAGGCTGGGGGAAGCTCCACTTCCAGGGGCAAGGTCAGCACGAAGACATCCAGGGTGACACTGAGGTCCCTCAGGGGAACTCGGCCTCTAATCGGGGGGCCCTCCAAACTGGCAAGTACCTGGCCTGGGAGAGGAGGAAAGCCGGGATTGCTGGGGGCCCTGAGTAAAGCATAGATTCAAGTTCTACATGCGAATGAGTCATATTCCTAGGCTTTCCTCCACCCACACTCAGGCAGGCAACCCTGGTCTTCCCCAGGCTCCTCTGAACTCACCCAGACAAGTAGGCAGGCTGCACACAGGTACTGAGCTGTGCTGTCCACGAAGACGCACAGAACATGTGAGGTGCAAGAAGAGGGGTGGCAGGTCATGCACAAGGCTCTCAGGCCCAGTGGGTGAGTCACCCCCCAAGATACTGAAGGAGTCTTCATCAGGGTTCACAGTGTCTGCATCTGACAGTGAGGCAGAGTCTAAACCAGCAGGCCCCAGGTCTGGTTCACGGCTCTCACGGTATTCGACCTCCAGCTCTGGATCACTCTCAGTGACCACACAGCAGGCAGATGTGTCACCTAATGGTGCATGTCATATGATCAACAAGCTAGACTGGCAGTGGAGGCCTCTCAATCCTGGCTTGAAGCAACCTCCTCCACCTCAACCCACTTGCTCACATCACATACCCTCTTCTCCCACAAGTTCAGCTTCTGAAAACTCCAGATCACTGACTTTTCTGTCTACTGTGTCCCGAGGACCATCATCCTAGGCAAAATAGAAACAAAACAAAACCCAAAATACCAAAACCAAAATCAACCAAACAAATAAAAAACCCAAACAATACAAAATTTGATCTAAGCAGGCCAAGAACTACATTGGGTCACAAGGAAGTAAGATTCAAGAGGATCTAGGCAGGCCAAATGGGATAACTAGAGCTCTGGGTTTGGGGCACAAAGGAGGGAAGGATAAAGGCACTCACTTCTCGTCTGCTGGATGGAGGGCAATAGAAGAAGTAGTGGGGATTGGAGGGCACAGTGCAGAAGTGGAGGCGACTAATTTCCAGGAATTTCTCCTGTTGTAGGGTTTAGAAGTGGGTTATGATGTCAACTGACCCTTGAAGGTACTACCCCTCCACCAGAATGGGACAGTGCACAAGGACTCTACCCCTCTTCTGCCCTCACCCAAGCTCCCTACCTGGATGAGGCCATGAAGGGCATCGTGTGCCTCTCCTCTGAGCTGGCAGACATCTGTCAGAGAGATCTCTGGGCCAGGGTCTGGATTGCCAGAGACACGGGTGCTCTGAAACTCAGGCTCACTTAGGTCCTCAGTCTCTATGCTGAGAGGTGGGGGTGGGAGAACACCAGTATCAAAAACCACCAAGTGCTAGAGGTACCTGCTTCCCAAGTGAGGAGCAGCACACACCTGTCTCTTGTCTACATAGTATTAACCTAATGGCCTGGGCAGTGACAGAGGCCAAGGAGAACCAACCCACCTATTTGGGCTCTAACCTCCACATTTCTTAAAGGCCAGACTATTTCTATGAAGTAGAGTGAGGGTGATCCCAGTTTTCTGACTCATATCACTTGGTGGAGAGTGGTATTGTTCCCCGTGAATAGAGAAAACAGGTGGAGAAGTGGGGTTTGATGGGAAAAAAATAAGTTCACTTGCGGGGCATGAAAAGCAGGGGATCTAGAGCTCCAGAGGGCCCTGGGCTAGAGTTTCAACTAGGAGTCCTCCGTATACCCACCACTCTAGTTCATTTTTCCCTATGGGCAATACACTGCAGAGACTAATACAGAGCTATCTGCCTGTGATCTTTCTTCTTTCCTCCAGCCTCTCTTCAGTAGGGGCCTGCAAAGGTCTAAAGTTAGCTGGGGACTCAGCAGTGAGCAAAATACATAGTTTTCGTCCCCATGACAAAGAGATTAGTTGGGGAGACTGTTACTATTATATGGAGGTCCTCAGAACAAGTCTCCAATTTGGCAACTGGGAACTCCCTGGCCCTAACCTGGCTCATCAGACCATACCTCAGCAGGAGAAATGGGGAGTGTCTGAGAGGGAGCATGTTTCCAGGACCACAGGGGAAAAAGCTATCTGCATAGGAAAAAGGAAGCCAGCAACAAAATATTGATGCTTCTCTGTGCCCACTCCTGGATTAGAAAGTTCTTGTTTTTAGAGTCTTGGTTTGTTCCCCCACTTTCTCTAACATCATTCAAGAATAATCCTAACCTGGATTCAGAAGCTAGGATAGCTCGTTCCCGAGGCTCTGGACCCTCCTCAATGCTGCTGCTGAAAAGCCCTGGGCTGAGAGGACCAGGGCTTGGGGGTGCATGAGGTAAACCACAAGTGTGGCCACACAGAGCAAGCAAAAATGGGGTGATGTCTACTTCTTGCAGTAGTTCCTCACAGGCATCCACTGCTGTCAGCAAATCCTGGCAAGTCACGTTCTGTGATTGCTGCAAGCTCCGGAATAGCCCTAATGGAAGTGGAAAAGGCCACGAGGGTCAGCTCTGGAATGGTCTCTCCAGGTCCCACCCCTATAATGTCTGTATCTCCACTCCCAGAGCTCCACTCTTCCCTCACGTGGCCTTCCTGCTTACCACGGACATAGCACCGCTGTGCATGCTCCTGCAACAAGGCACAATGGGTAGCTGCCTCTTTGTACCTGGGCTCCATCCAGACTGAGGATGCAGAGGGGTGGTCGAGAAACTGAGTCCTAGGAATGGAGGGACAACAGAGTTTGGTTAACTTCCCTATATGATACCTTGGATTCAATAGTCAGTGGATATCCAGTCTCTTATATCTAGACTCTTACAAAATGCATTCACTCAGTTGATGAACCTGCTGAGGGAAGCCAGAAGCTGAGTTCCTTTCACTGACCATCAATCTGTTTATCCATACCCATGAGTGTACACCGAAACCTTTGTAGGAGGAGGACACAGATGAACATCAAGAGCACTCACCGGAAGACGAGGTCTCGGGGTGCCTGAGGGGGCTGCATGCCAACCATTTGCTCCCTCAATGCTTCCAGGGAACAGCTATAGATATAGACAGGACACCGGGTCCGGGGCCCCTCTGTACCCTCTGTCTGGGAAGTCTGACGCCCAGCATAAGTCTGTAAGTCCCGGCGGAAGGGAGGGCTCAGCTCTCCTTGATCCTGGGCACTGTCTGTGGGGAAAGGTGTCCCATGGTGTTTAAGCCCTTTATTTGTGTCTCACCCCACTCCTATTTAACTGACATCAGAGTCAACGACCTTACCATCAGCTAGGGTTATGCTGAGGATAGGGACTTGGGACTTGGTAGCCTTAACCCCAGTTCCTCCTAGATCTCGTGGACTGGGGGTTCCACTCCAATCCCCAAGCTTTGTTTCTTCTTGAGAAGGTCCCTCCAGGCCATAGGCAGTCAGATGCTGAACATCTGAAGAGGAAAAGATGGATACAAATCAGAGTTGTTTGGTGTTCTGGTGAGGGAGTGCAGGGGTTTATATATAGTGTGTGTATGTATGGTGGGGAGTGTTAGTGAAGCCAGTAGTCAGTACCTGTGAAGGTAGCGGGGAGAAAAGTTAGGAACACATGCTGGGGGGTCACCAGCCTGGCATAGCAGCGCCACTGAGGAGGCTGGGCAGAGATGAGAGGCTTGAGAGTTTCAGGAAGACCTACACCCTGTAAGAGAGAAACAAAAAATTAGAGCAATCTACAAGGGAACATCTAAGCCCTGTTCCCTTCCTTCACCTTGAGCTGACTCATCTTAGGTGTAGTGTCTAAGATTCAGAACAAATGGAAATGACAATGTTCAGTCTGTGGCAGAAGGTATATGGAATCAGGGTGATAGAAATCTGGCATCACTATACATGGATGTATAGTGATGGAAGGAAGTCAGTATGACAAGGGCTTAGGGAGAAGACTCAATGCTGACCAGGGCAGGAAGAGCTGAGTCTCCAGTGGCCAGGGTGCTGCTGACTTGATCCTTTAGGATCCCATGGCTTCCCATTGGTGGCCCCTCTGCACCTACAACAGGTGTAGAGATGGTGGAAGAGGGTAGAGCCCCAGAAAGGTGGCTCTAAGTTGAAGAGATAGAGAGGATGGCGAGGAGGGAGTCCAGAGCTCAGACAGAAACCGCCCTGTGGGAGTGAGAGAAAGGGCTGGGCTGGATTCTAGTATTAGAAAAAAGGTGGGGAGCTCACCTGGATCATGACAGCTCCGCTGCAGTACCTCACTCAAGAAGGCAGCCTGGTCAGCAGGGGTCAGTGGGATCTCCCGGTCACTCAGCTCCTGCCCCAGGCAGCTGTGCAGCAGGCACAGCACCGTGTCGTTGGCAGGACAGGGCCCCTCGGCGAGAGGAACACCCTCTGGCTCTGCCCGACACACACTCTGCTCAGCACCCAGAGCTTCCTGCTATCCAGTGTCCCCAGCTCCACCCTGGCCAGCAAAACCCTTTGGCTGCAGCTTCCTCCTGCCCCATCACTCATTTGCTCCTCTACTCATCTGGTCTCTAATATGCCCAGCATGCTGGCCCCTTAGGAGAGGGGTGAGTAGGTACCAAATTCACCCACCTCTGGAAAGCAAAAGGAAAAACATCTGCAACTGCTGGCACTGTGGCAGCAATCCCATTAGGTCAAAATGGAAAGGGATCTCATGGACACAGGTGTCTCCTCCCTGGTCCAGTCCTAGGAGGGGGGGAAGGATGATAGGATACAACAGTGAGACCCAGATTACTTGCTTTCTCCCTACTCATTCCCCTGTTCCACCCAGGGGCCGCCTTCCCCACTAACCATCAGAGACCCGTGGCTCTGGGGGCAAAGGACCCCATTCCTTGCTCTGGCAGAGCTGTATCAGATATTCAAAGCTCAGCATGGAGCCTATGCAGGCAGCATCCCGTGGGTGCAGCTAGGGAAGAAAACATCAGAGGATAGGAGTAACCCCTCATAACCCTAGCCTCTGGTTCTCAATGAAGCCTAAACAGTCACAGACATTCTGAGGCCCCAAGAAGCCCAGGGGCTACTGCATCCAAAGGAGATCCAACCTGGTGAAAGATCAGGGTATGGGTCTCGGGACACTCACAGCTTGAGGGATCTCAGAGTATGTCAAGTTCTGCAGGTGCTTCCAGCTTTCAGGGCCAGGTCCCACTCGCCCATATTGTGGCTCCACCCACACCTCAGTGACCAGATTAAGCTCTGAGTCCCCCTCTAAGGCCTCCACCTCCACATCATTGTCGTCATCTGTTGAGAAGCTAAAGGAGAGAGTGCTCTAAGAAAAAGGGAGAAGGGATATAACACACAGCCTTGTGGCAGGGAGCGAGCCCATGGAGGAGAGGAAGGAGGCCGGCATAGGATAGCCACAAGTTGCACGTGGCCTCTATAGACCATGTCTGCCTGATGGAACATCAAAATATAACATCCCCCTGCCTCAACTTGAGATGAACATCCCAGGATATGTGAGCCAGATGTTTAGGGGACAGTGAGGAGAGAGGACACTCTGCAGAGATGACTTCCAGGCAGGGCTAAATCTCACCTGTCTTTGGTGGAGGTGGAGTGTGGGGGGAAGAGGATGTACTGGATGACACATGTGTGCTTCTCTTCAGCTGCAGCTTGTCCGGGTGGTTCATTCTGTGGGTAAATAGGAGATCCTAGAGGGCTGGGAACATAGCTCAGTTGGTAGAGTGCTTGCCTTTGCATACACAAGGCCCTGAGTTCAATCCCCAGCACAACAACAACAACAACAACAAAAATAGAAGACCCTAGAAAAATCCTAGCTGGTGTGAAGACCTGGTCTAGCCTAGCTCTGGCCCTCAAAACTTCAATACCTTCACCACTCCTCATTATTTCTATGACTCTGGCCTCAGACCTTGGTCCTCTGACCATATCATATGGTCCCTACGAGGCAAGGTTTATAGCGGTCCCCACCCAGCTCAGAGGCAAATGTCCCTGAGATTATTATGATGGATCCTGAGGTGAAGTGTCATGAGGGATAGCACACACCTGAATTGGAAGTTCCAGAACCATATTGATGATTCCTTCCGCACTGCAGGCAAAATGGAACCCTTCAGAGAGTCGAACTCTAAAAGCCCCATAAAGGTGGAAGAAGATGAGAAAGGAGATACTCGGTGCAGTGCCCCAACACATCCATCTCCCAGTAGCCATAGTGACAGCCTAGTCCACTAGATGCTCTGTTCAGACTAACGGTCTCTTAGGGTACAACAGGTCCAATTAGGATCAGAGGCCAAAATAAGCATAGTAGAGGGAAAGCACAAGGTTAGGTAGCAGCGTGCTCTATGCTTGATATTGGAATGTAGTAATAGAATGTGGCTTAGGCTTTCTGCCAGTGTTCAAACTCAAAGTCCACCCTTGCTCTACTCCTGCCCCAGTAGCCTGGCAGGCTCCAGTGACATACTCAGTGAGGATGGATAGGAGCTGGGCGATGGCACTGAGTGGTAGTGCAGGAGCCAGGCCTGACGGGACACTCCAGAGCCAGCGTTGATGGTAGAGGTAGCGAGACAGTGATGCTAGGCTAGACGAGGCTGAACGGCCTGAGACTAAGGGCAGTGGCCCTGGTGGCTCCAGTGTCAGCAGGAAGGGTGCCCGGTAGTCCAGGGGTAGCTTCTCATACCTGGGAAATGGGCAATTCCTCAGTTGATCTCTACTACCCTTCCCTCATGTTCCGGGACCCTTCCCCATCCTCTATACTAACCTGATGAGGAGCTTGTCCAGTGGTTTATGGAGGACCACAAGGCAGGGCCGGTCAGACAGGGCCTGCTGTGGCCCCAGCATGGGGGGTGACTTAGAGGGAGAGCTCCCCCCACCAGTGCCACCCAGCCCTTTTCGTTTCACCTTGGGTGTTGGCTCCTTGCTTTGCACCCGGTGGGGGAAACGAAGGCGTAGGATCTCTTCCCTCAAATCTGACACAATCTGCAAGGAAAATGTAGTCAAGTTTCTCCAGAAGTCTGAGAAAAGGGGCCCACAGACAAGGTAAGAAAACTGTCTCCTTCAAGCCTTACTTGGTCTGGGAATCACTTCTCCCTACTAAAATTGGCCCTGTGGGGGCACAGGAAATGGAGCTCATCTATACCCGAAGACTCCTTGGTCTGGGAGTAAGGGCCCAGTTTACCTTGTGCCGGGCCTGTGCTGGAGTGCCAATGGGAAAACCCAGGCGAAGAACCATGCATGGGGCCTTGGAAATGATGCGGACCATGTAGAAGGAGGAGGGGGGCTGGTCTGGGGCACTGGGGAGAAATGGGACAAAGTGAGCAGCCCTAGGCTGGAAGTAGATGGGTTTAGGAGGAGGTAGGGTTGAGGCCTGGCATTAGAGGAGAAATAGAATAAGGTGATGGGGGAAAAGTGAGGAGATGTCACTTTGCCCACCTGGAGAGCAACTTGACATAAGAATAACCCTCGACCAGCACAAAGCTGCTCCAGTCCCGAAGCAAAGAGGTCAGAGAGGAGTGTGAGATCCTGCACTGGATAGTGCTGTAGCGTCCATTGCTGCCTGGGGTATGCAAGTGCTTGGGGATTGGTCTAGGAAGAAGGTGTTGAATGCAATCAGACCTCCCAGCCCCAATCTTGGGGGGGAAGAGTAGACTACTTCCTCCCCTAGGCCTGAGATTATCAGGGCTGATAAACAGGAAGACATGAACACAGCTGGTACCCTTCCCATCACTCCCTATCCTCCACCCAAACTATGGCCCTAGCCCTGAAGGTACGCACGTGTCATGCTCTAGGATGAGCACCAGGCGATGCATGTGCAGCCAACGCTGCCATGAATTAGCATCCATAGACAGTACTGGCTTCCAATAGGCAGCAAACTGGGCATGAGATGAGTCAGAACCACTGTGCTGAAGGGAGAGCACCTGGGGACAGAAGAGATAGCCCTATGGGAGCATATGTGGACAACCAGCAAACAGAGCCAAGGCAGACTCAGTTCAAGGGGTCAAAGACAGAAGTAGGTTAAGGCTAAGGGCTGTAGCCTAACTTGGGATTGAGGAAAAACAGCTTCCAATCTGAAGGCTAGATTAGTATGACTGAGCCAGAGACAAAATGTGTAGCCTTTCCTTAAAGATGAATTCAGCAGGAAGATGGAACCTGCCCAGCTTATGTCACTGACTTTCAAAGAAAAACTGAGTGATGACAACACCTGGTGATGACGCTGCTGCACACCCATGTAAGCCATGTGCCCATCAGCGTGAGGCTGCCAGCCATGTCTTCACCGAGTGCGAAGACAGCACAGGACAAAGGAAGCTGTGGCATTCAGAAAGCACACAGTTCACAGTGGTTGGTGATGGCTGGGAACAGGTTGGGGAGGTTGGGGTGAGGGAGTGCACAGTCTGCTGAGGGACCACCACCTGAACATTCTGCAAGATGTCAGACACCCATGATCTGTTAAGGACCTTTTGGATCCTTCTCCTCCCCTTCCCCAGGGCCTTAGAAGATGGAAAAGAGATGCTTTCAAGGTCAAAGGTGAAGCTTCTAGTTTCTGTTCCTTGAAAGAGAAGGAACAGAAGTTGGTCTGGGATCCAGATACTGTGCTGATCCCTACCCAGGTGAACAGAAAAGGGGCTACCAAGCATCAGAGCTACTCACCGGGGTGGTGGAGCCTGGAGGGATGTAGAAGAGTGGCACTCCACTCTTGGTGCTGTCTGGAAGTGTGAAGTGCTCTGGCACTGAGGAAAAGGACTGAAGATGGGCTAACATCTGGTCAGTCTGGTTAATGCTGTCAAATAAGGGCCAAGCCTGAGCCACAGCTGACTCTGCTAGGTGAAGTTGAGGGGAACCCCAAGGAGACAGGACCAAAGACACAGCCTGGTGCTCAGGATGACCCTCCCCCACTCCCAGTTTCACAAACCCATCCCTCCATACAACAAATAGGGCATTATTCACCAAGTGGTGACCTCGCTTACCTCTGCAGTGTGTTCCAGAAACGGCGGATAACATGGGTACGATATAAGGAACGAATGGGTTGCCTTAGTGCACAGGACACATCATGCAAAATGTCATAGCCACCTTCCATTGTCACCTCCACCCGTGTTGCTCGAGGACCCTCAGGCTCTAGGGGCCAGGGTGCCATAGCCACATACTCAATGCGCATGTTGTGTTTCCAAAGCAACACCAACTTCACTTCCAATTGGGAGCCTCCTTCAGGGGAGCAGAAGGGCCAGTTAGGTGAAGAAGGCTTAGGACTCCAGGCCTAGAGAGATTCCTATCTGAAACCTCACCTACCTCATGGAACTCTAGCCTGGCCAAAGGTTCCAAGCACAGTTCCATAGGTTTCAGGCCCAGAGTCTGTCAACTGACTCAAAAAGAAGTTTGCAGGAGTAATTTGAAAATAAAACCAAGTTCAGGGCACTACACTCGTCTCAGCTGGTTCACCTTGTGCAAAAGGAGATGGAGTTGGGAAATTACTTGCTGGGAGAAGTGAACCCTGAAGGCAACTCTCAAATGACAAGCAGAGTCTCTCATAGTGATGCTCTTTCAGGGGTGTTATATGGGTGTCTTCCACTCTGTTCAAAAGGTCTACCTGCATAAAAGTTCTCAAAGATCTGTGAAATTATAGTAGGACCTAATGACCTCACCTTTGGCCAATGTGACCTCTCGGACACTGTAGCCCTCTCGAAGCCGTACAGACACAGTGCTGACCAAGTCAGCTGGCACCTCCTTCTCAGTATGCTTCTTCCGGCGCAAGGCCAGGGCAGGGTTGCTGCTTGCAGAGACTAGGTGCTCATTAAATAGGCGGTGCTGAGAACCTGGGGGCCCAGTGAAGATGGGGAAAGAGAAAATGGTGATCTATTAGTGGACAGTTACACAAGGGGAAGAGAAATCACTGTGGGAACAGCTCCAGATCTGTTAGACTTCCAGTTCTTCCAAAGCCTAGACGGCATAATCTCTGGGCCCATTCTATATTCCCCCTTCCATCCCACCCAGCCTGCCTCTTACCGCAGTAATATTCAGGGTTCAGTGCTTCACCACTGCGTAGGAAGGAGTAGAGCAAGAATGCCCGGTGGTAGACAGTCAGACCCAGGTTGCCTGGCTCAGGTTCAGGACAAGTGGACAGGTAGGAACCAAATGTTGCCATTGCAATAAACTTCATCAATTCCACATTGGGCACATGTCCAAAACTGCAGTCATAAGAGTAAACGCCTCCCACCTGGAGAAAGTGAACAAGTAGAGTCCCTGATCCACCAGAGGAACTGGAGATGATGAATAGCAAGAGAGGGAGCTGGGACTAGGGGAGAAGCAAGCCACCATTCCCCTCTGTGCCTGCCCTTCCTTGAGTCCTTCTGTCTGAAGCCCATACCATTTGGTTACATCATCTTCTGTCCTTCTTCCTCAACATCAAATACTCTTTTCTTCCTTCACTAAAGATTTTAGCAACTGGTTCATTGGTTTCCTGTCACCATCCTGAAAGACTTCAGTGTGTATCTCTAATAAAGTGTTTCTCAAGCTTCAGAACATATAGAACCCCCACCAATCCCTGCCCCAGAGATATTGTTAAAATGCAGGAGGTCGGGGTATAGCCTGAGGTCTGCATTGCAAATAAGCTTTCTGAGGCCAATGCAAAGGCTACAGATCAGAAATTGGCAAACTCATATACACTGAGGCCAGATCTAGCCCATCACCTATTGTTATCAATAAGGTTTTACTGGAACTCAGCCATGCCATTCATTTTGTATTGTCTTTGGTTGCTTTCACACTACCATTCGAGAGCCTTCACACCACCACAGCACAGCCCAACAGTTGTGACAAACCCCTTTAGGCTTAAATATTCACTATCTGGCCTAGATGATTCATCTAGTTCCTTGGCTGCTTTGTTCCTTAACCCTTATCTCTATTTTATTGCACATTGGCTATATCTTGGGGCTTGGCTTCACTTGGAACAATTCATCTTTGCAATTCTAAATCACTATAATCCATGACACGTGATTATCCCTTTAGTTTCCTTCTGCCCTCTTCCTGCTGCTCTTTGACCACACTGGGTCTTCCAGGCCTTCAGTGTGCTCTCTCCAAGTCTAATAGCATTATCCTGACCCTCCTATGCAACCCCTGCCCCACTTGGATCCTTAATTCAAGCAATTTCATAAACATTGTTCTCAAATCCCTGACCTTCTTCACAGTTTTCTGCTCCTACCTCAAAACCCCAACTAGGATCACAACCTCTATACTCAGTCAAATCAATGGTGCGCAAATGGAGAAAATCGCACGGTGTGTAGGCTGGTCCTGTGTCAAATCATGACACCCCACCCAACTACTTATTCAGGGTTGTCCTTAAGCCTGTATCATCTTCTCAACATTGGCCTCCCTTCCTTATGGTATTCATCATTATCTTTTTTTTTTTAATATTTTATTTACATTTTAGTTTTCCGTAGACACAACATCTTTGTTTGTATGTGGTGCCGAGGATCGAATCCGGGCCGCAACCACTCCAGGCAAGCGCGCTACCGCTTGAGCCACATCCCCAGCCCCGATCATCATTATCTTTTACTTCAGAGAGAAATGGGGCCTTTGGTAGAATTTATCTACATCTTCTCTTCTATCTTCTAACTCAAAGAAAGAAATAACACTTGTCTGCTCTGAAAGAATTCCTCAATCTGTTACTAGAGCCAATGTCCACCTGTCAATTCAGGACTTTACTCCATCAGCTTCTTTCTTTCCCTTTTTTCAAACTCTTCTTCACTATGACCCCTTAGAACAAAGCCTAAGTCTCTAACTTAAAAAAAAAAAAAAAAATAGAATAAACACCCCTCCTTCTTCCCTGTGCTTTCCTCTGGCTACCATTCTTTCTTGTTCCCCACTTGATCTGAACAGCCAAATTTCTTGTGTCAACACTTATCTCTACTTCCTTCTCTTCTATCCACAGCAAAAATTTCCCTCACAGCCTCTTCACTAAAATGATTCTGAAAAGGATCCCAGTGACCTAATTATTACATCCAAAGGGTACTTTTCATTCCTCATCCCTCTTAATCTTTCTCTGCATCTTGCAATGTTAACTACTCATTTCTTCCAAAACCTCTGACTTCTCTAATCTACCCTGTCTCTTGAGTATCAGGGTCTGCATATCCAACTGTTAACTGCTATGAATTGCAGCCATTTCATATGTACTTTAAAGGTATGATCTCACCACTGGAGGTAGGTACTCTGATAATCTCCATTTATAAATGAATCCAACCTAGAGGTGAACTGGTGGGTCCAAGGTCCCAGAGCTAATAAATATAGCCAGAATTCAGACTGGCATGCCTTACTCCAAAGGCAATGTTCTTAACTACTATATTGTGACCAATCACAGGAACCTCAAACACAACACACATGAACCTGAACAAAACATATGCATACACAAAATTTATCATCTTGTCCCCACTCCACCCCAACTGCTTCTCTTTCCATTTGCTCTGCATGCTCCCCAGTCAGATACTTGGAGACACTCTTAACTTCTCTTTATCCCTCATCTGTCCCTTAGTATCTTGCTAATCCTAAGTCATATTAACTCTATCTCTTTATTTTCTCAAACTGCTTGCCCCTAAATTCCCTAATTTAAGCCCTGCTCCTCTTACTAACCATTGCAATTAATTGTCTCTCTGTCTCCACTCCTGCCTTTGACTCAGCAGCAAGAATAGCCTTTATAAAATGTAAATCAACTAGTGATTTTCCTGCTGTATATCTGCATCACCCATAGAACTATGCATTTTACTTCTTAATATGGCCAAACCAGCTTTCCATGCTTGGCTATGTCTACCTCTCTAGTCTACCATAAGCTGTAGTTCCCTGTATATGCCTTCCCTCCCCTTTGCTTAAGCTAGTTTGAACTGGTTTTTTAACCCTTGAAACCAAATAATAATAACTAACCTAATGGGATAGGTGGAGCTGAAACTGACTCAGATTTTGAAATTTCTATTCTTTTTATTTAACATGCTATCTCCCAAATCCTAAAGAAAGGGGACAAAAATGAGAATCCTCTTCCACCATTGCTACCTCTATTGCTCTAGACATGACACGTTCTCCCCAAGGCAACTATGTCATTAGCTTCTCCCCAAGGCAACTATGTCATTAGCTTCATTTGAAAAATCTCACCTGTAAGAAAGTAACCAGCCACATCTGACTTTGTGAGATACCCAACTCCTTCTCCTTCCTATAAAGTGCTCACCTGAACAAAGGAACAAGCCACAGTACCACTGCGAAGCTGGTTCAGTAGTGTCTCACAGACAGCAACATCAGGTACACTGGTCACCCCATCTGTGATCACAATGATACCTGAGGCAGAAAACAAGATTCAGACCTGCAGCACTGGCCAGACCAAACTAACAAGGAGGCACCCAATGGACAGGGCTCTGAAGACCTCAGTGTCCACTCATCAACATGTTTTATAAACCTCTAATACCTTTCCTTCTCTCCTCCCCTCCTGCTTCTTTCTCGTGATGCTAGATCACAATCTCCCCTACATGATGTCCTTGTAATTCTACTCCTTTCCACTAAGGTCCCTGATGGTTGCCAGAGCTGAGGATACTCAAGATATACACTAGTGCAGATTTATATTTTGCAAACAATGAAACAGGTCCTCTTCCCTAAGACCCACTGATCCCCAGGAATCTCTATCTTTGTCAATATCCCCCCACCCTTGCGGATCCCCATTTCCCCATTCCCATCAACATTCTTTTTACTGACCTGCACTGGAGTTTGAGGGCAGTAACTGCAGTGCCAAGATGCCCTGACGAATCATACTGACTAGTCCAAGATCAGCTGTCACCATGGAAACTCCCACCTTCCGGCCCAAGGGCTCCCCTGAGTCTGGGGACCGGTCTTCTGCCTGGCCCCAAGTTACAGAAAAGTTAGACTACAACAGATTGCATTGTTGCCTCATCCACAGCAAAATCAGAATTTATAATTTTTCTTCTGTTTTAAATTTAATCAATTTTTATTTATTTAATATTTATTTATCTGGGAACTGAACTCAGAGTGCACTACCACTGAGCTATGTTTCAGTCCTTTCACTTTTTATTTTAAGACAGGGTTTCACTAAAACCTGCTGAGGCTGGCCTTAAACTAATGATTCTCTGGCCTTAACCTCCCAAGTAGCTGGTATTACATGCACATACCACCATATCTAGCTTCTTCTTTTTCTTTTTTCTTTGTAGTGCTGGGAATTGAATCCAAGCTAAGCATGTGCTCTACCACTGAGCTACGCTTCCAGCTCCCAAACCAGAATTTGTAGCCCTGGCAGGCCTAATCATGTGAAGACCCCAAGCTCCCCACGATGCTGCTGAGTCCTACTGTTCTCCCTTCCACACACGTGCTCAGCTGCTGAACCTCAGATGGGAAGGGAGTCAACACCAGACGAACCATCAGACTGTACTGAGGCAGGGCTTCTCTACCTTTTGCCAAGAAGGGCCTTTTTCCATATTCTCCCATCACTATCATGAAATATTTTATAAACAATCCAATTCCATACCAGTCATCAGGCACACTGAACTGCTACTTGCCTGGCAACTTCTGTGATATCCAAAGCAATTCTAGTGAGCCAAGCAGCAATTCTAGTAAGCCTAAGATTGTACAAAATACTAACTCGAAATCAAAGCCACTTATGGTCAGCTTCTCAGATCCTCACAGGATGAGGATCTGGGATTGAAAAAACACAAGCAAATGGCCTTCACCTTTTCTCCCTCCAAGAATCTGAGTCACCGTCCTCTAAAGCTAGTTTTAAATATTCACTAGCACATCTGTCCTTGTCTCACTCTGCCCCTGGCTATTAGTCCTTTTCTGCCATCCTTACCCTCTCTAGGTGGTACAATCCTCCTCTCTGCCCTCCATCCTATGTACTCTCTTTCAAAATAGTCTCTACCCATTTCTCTCCCACATACCTGGCTCTGGGGATCATACTGCTGCTGCAGCATGGCAGCCACCTTATCCTCAAAGAGGCAGAGCTGATCATACACCTGCTGAAGGAATGCTTCCCGCTGAGAAGGGTCCAAAAGGCAACCTTGTACAAGCACCTGAGAAGCACAAGGGAAAGACTGAGATAGGACCACAGTGGGGTACTGGCCCCTACAGATCTCTGCTCTCTCTGCTTATTCTCCATAGCTCCCTCTAGGCAATCCTAATTTCCCACCCAACCAGGATCAAATGACTCCACAGCCAGTTCCTCCTTCTTAAATCTACTTCACCAATTCTTAGCCTAGGTACACGGCAATCCTGCACATAGCCCCAAGACATCGTCACCTTAATCTGGGGTCACGATATTTACCTCTGCTTAGGGCCCTCCACCCTGGGCTTCCCAAGTCTCCCACATGGGGGCACCATAAGATCTCCCAGCTCCTTCCATAATGGGCTTTGGTATGTTGTCTGTAAACTGCCCACCTCAGCCCAGCAAACTCCTTTTACTCATTTCTTAAGATACACACAGGTATCCTGGAGGTTATTGCTTCTTTTGAACTCAAAATGTTCTTCTTATTCCCCCCATAAATGTTCCTTCCTTTCCTTTACTCTCAGCAGATAACTATTACCACTCTTCATAAAGGAGGTCAGCTAATAAGAACTGGCCCTAACCTGGAAATCCACCCCTCTGGAAATTCCCCTCAAAGTCTGACATGTTTACATTTATCCATGTTCTTGTTCTCTCTTTGAGACTCTCAAGAAAGGGTTCTTTATCCTACTCTTTCCCCCTAGAGCTAATCTCTCTCCATCTCTTCACAAACTTCTTGTCTCTTTAGGATCTTCACTCTTTCTCCATGGATTCGTTTCCTTCTACTTCAAATATAAATAAGTGCCCCCTAAATACAAATCTGTAAGACCTTATGGTGGACCCCAGGATCTCACCCCTCTTTCCTCATCACACTCCTATAACCTGTCCTTCATGCCCACTTCTTCTCCCTGACTCCTACCCTCCTGTGGAACAACTTCTTCTACTTCTTCACTCTCTATTCCATACTTTGTAAGGGGATAGGGACAGCTGGAGAGGGAAAGTGGAACACTGTCCCATTCTATAGGCCTGTGAGAAGGAAAACAGAGAAGTAACAGGAACTGGAGCAACAGAAAGATGAGATAAAATAATCACAATATAGATGTTCCTATCTATATTGTTTAGAAGTAGTAAAACTGGGACAACACAACTGGCCAACAATAAGGGGCTGGCTAAATATTTCAGGATAAAATAGTAAGTTAAGGAGTAATTAAAATCATTTTCAAAGAATATTTCATGGATGTGAGGGTGATCTGGCTATGACATCAGTCACCCCATTGATTGGCAGGGTTGATTCAACTGATCTGGCTGGCTAGGCAGGTGTCCCCATCCTCCCTCACTGCTCCATGGGAATCCCCCCCAAAGCTGTGAGCTTAGTTTAAGAAGATGACCTTCTCTGATAGAGGAGGATCATTCTTTAGTCAAGAGTATACAAGTAGGGCTGGGGTTGTAGCTCAGTGGTAGAGCACTTGCCTAGTATGTGTGAGACACTGGGTTCAATTCTTAGCACCACATATAAATAAAAAATAAAGGTACATTGACAACTAAAAAAATAAAAATAAAAATAAAAAAAGAGTATACAAGTAGCTGCACTTCCCTTTCAGTATTTCCAAACAAGCTCTCAAAGAAAATTTTCATGATATGGGACAATACCTGTATTAAAGAGAGTAGGACACAGAAGTCATATGTCCTGAATGCACCTGATAGTTCTCTTTCTGTCTTTGAATAAAGGGATGGTGGTGGGGGAGAATCAATATATACTCACTAGACTAGAAGGCAATTTCATAAAACGTTAACAATATTTATTTCTGAGTATTATATTATAGGTGAGTTTTGTTTTTTTCCTTTTTATTTTTTATTTCCTTTATTTTTTATTGGCATTGGGATTGAATCCAGGGCCTTGCATATGTTAGGCAAGTGTTCTAGCAATGAACTATACCCCCAGCTCTTTTTATTTTTTGAGACAGGGTCTCACTAAGTTGCCCAGGTTGGCTTCAAACTTGCCATCCTCCTGCCTCAGCCTCTGAAGTAGATGGGAGATGTGTACCATCATGCCCAGCTCTTTATATTTTAATGTGGCTTTCAAATCTTCAAAGGACATGTATTATAAATAAATGCAATTTAACTTTGTTTTTCTTTTCTTTTTTTTTTTTTTTTTTTTAGGTACTGGGGATTGAGCCCATGGATACTTTATCATTGAGCTATAATAATCACAAGCCTTACGAGCCATTTTTATTTTGAGACAGGTATCATGTTAAATTGCCCAAGCTGGCCTCAAACTTATGATCCTCCTGCTTCAGCCTCCCAAGTAGCTGAAATTATAGGCTTGTGTCATCACACCCACTAACTTTTCTTTTAGAGTTGCATGATATACCTTGAGGAACTACAGAGAAGATGTGGAGGCTGGCTTGGGGGTGATTAGTGGCCCTGGGAGCTTACCTAAGAAAATTCTCTCTTTCCCCTCAGCTGCTGTCCTTGTTCAGGTAAAACCCTCTCTCCCAAATGGCAATCATTTTCTGCCTGTTCTCCTTACATCCAGACTTTGTCTCCAATCCATCCTCCATACTTCCCACAAATAAGTATGATCTTACCTGTGTACAAATCTGATTCTATTGCTGTCCATTCAAAACTTTCAGAGGTTCCCCTCATACCTATGGCTAATTATTTGAAAAGCTAACATTTGCATGTTTTCTCTGGGGCAAGTTCTGTTCAACTACTTGACATGTATTAATCCAATCACCGTATATTGGTGCTATTGATATCCCCATTTTGGCTGGGTCTGGTGACTCACGCCTGTAATCCCAGCAGTCTGGGAGGCTGAGACAGGAGGATCTAGAGTTCAAAGCCAGCCTCAGCAAAAGCGAGGTGCTACGCAATTCAGTGAGACCCTGTCTCTAAATAAAATACAAAATAGGGATGGGGATGGTCAGGCAAACACAGGCAATGATCCAGTGCTCTTAACTCCCCTATAGAATAAAGGACAGAGTCCTTAGATTGATATTCTAAGCCTTTCCTAATTGATCCCCCCTATGTCTCTGGTCTTCTCTGTACCACCACTTTCCTATATTCAAACTTTACCCTATCAAAACTGAATAATATGTAGCTCCTTCAAAAACCTGTGATTGAGAGTGCAGTTTTATAGCTCTGTGCCTTTGCTTTTGCTGGTCTTCCCTTTTTTGAACAGTTAACCCAAGTTCTTTCTTCAAGACTCAGTTCAAATGCTGCTTTGTCTAAAAGACTTCCCTGTCACTGTTCCAGGCTTGATTGGATGCTCCCTCTTGGTGTTCCTGCAGCACCCCAGCCATAACTTATCAGTGCCCTTATCATGTTCAACTGAAATTACCACCTGCAATATCTATTTCCCCCGCTGAATGCTAAACTCCTTCCAACAGGACAAAGACAGTACCTGATTCATCTGGGTCTTCAGAACATAGCCTGGGCCTGGCATAGGTCAGGCTTCAGTGTTTGCCAAGCAGAACAAAGTTTTAAGTGATTACCTAACACCCATACTCTCTCTGCTTTGGCTATCAGCACCTGCAAAGCCTGGCCTCTGTCTGGGGATGTGGCCTGTAACCACCAGGCTAAAAGTTGTCCCAGAAGAGCACTTTAAACTGGGACAAAGGGCTGACAGTCCCTGCCCTGGGATCTGGCATGCGCCAGGTATGTTGGTGTATACTTCAGACCTTCAGAGCCTGTTCCTGGCTTCTGTCTGTCTTCCACAAAAAGTTTGATGGCTAAGGTGACAATATAGCCAGCAGGGACAGTTTCAGGAAAAGCCCCTACCAATGAGTTGAGGTTAAAAGCAGATGAGGGGAAATAGGCCAATGCTTATCTAAGCCCCAAACAGATATTTCTGTAACAGAGTTGGCCATTCTCCAAAAGGAGTGTCTTATGATAGCCTGCTTGGGTGGCAGATGAGCCCTGTAATTATCAGTGTGGTCAGCATTATATCTGACAGTTCACAGGCTCTGGGAAAATATGACCCTTCTCTGTCCCTAAAATAAATTACATTTCTGAATATTTGTAGAAGTTCAAAATCACAAAATATTCAAAAAAAATCATCTCCTGGGGGGTAGTCCCAGGAGTTCGTGCAAGAGAAACCATCTGACAAAACTCAAGAGGTGAGTGAGATAGGCAATTGTCTAATCAATGTCAACTGACCCATCCTTAGAAAGCATCTTTAAGGCAAGAGGAACTGGTTGTTTTCAAGGAAACAGAGACTCATGGGAATAACTTAGAACAGGCTAAAGAAACCAGCAGAGCTGGGGACTTGAGTAGAAATAGTAGAGACAGGGTGAGTACTTAGCAGATTACTGGAAATTTGGTCTGTGGGTAGAAAGTTGGAGGGGGATGAACTACCTGGTGGGACTGTAGGCCAATGATCGAGGAGTAGGCCTGGATAGTTACGTAGATCTCAGGCTGGAAGTCGATGCAAGATCCAGGCACTCGGAAGGGCCGAAGCAGCCCACCCAGGCAGCGGGACAGGGCATGGAAAACTTCATCAAATAAGATCTCCCCTGTGGAATCATCCTGAGGGCAATGCAAAGAAAGCTCTCTCAGGGTGCCCAAAAGCAACCCTAAGCAGAGGGCAGAAACAAGCAGCTTCCACAAGTCAGTAGGACTCTCATCTTATGACTATTCACATCCCTAAATATAGTGCCACAGATGGAATGGGACTATCTTTTAACAATCCTAATTCCTTTATAAGTTCATCTTCTTCCCACAATGGTAGGTTGGGATCCTTTTTTACCTCCCCCAAAGGCCTTTCTCTCTTCCTTACCCTTCACTCCATCCCTGCTTCCCAGAGTCTCCCTCCAACTACTTACCACAATGCCAGTGGATGGGCTAAGGTCCAGCTCAATGACAAATCGATACTGCCAAGCCAGGAAGGTAACCCGAGTAGAAGGTACGAGGAGGAATGGTCTTGGGATCACTGGTTCATCTGGCTGCCACCCAGGAGGCAGGATACTGAGGACTTCTAACTCCTGCTCAGACTGAAGCTGGTAATTAAGATGGATATAAGAAGAAAAGGACCAGGAAAGAGTCACTGCTTTCTTCCCAGAATCCCAATTTGCCCACTTATTAGCTGTGAGACTGTACAAAAGGCACCTAATCTCTTTAAGTCTTGGTGTCCTCATTTATAAAATAGAAATAATCCTAATTTTAATCTAAAGTGTGGTAGTGAATCAAATGTTATAAAGTGCTCCCTAGACCTGCCTTTAATACTGTTCTGCTTCCCATAAATAATCACCTACTCTTTCCCCCAATTATCTGGAAAAATTATTCAGATTTCCCTTGGGGAATCATCTTGTGGGCAGTCACTTGACCCCCACTCCCCTCGACCCCCAACTTAGAGCTTTCAGAATTAGTCTCCCCTCCTGTCTGTTTCTAACACACTCCAACAAAGCAGATCCTTCTGGGTCATTCCCTCATGCCTATCTCTAGACCTCACCAGCAACTCCTGGGGTGTGGCCTGCACAGTTTGATGCAGATGACTGAGGAACCAAGCCAGGCGAACATTTCTGGAGATTCGATAATCCTTTTTCATTAACAGGAACACCTGCCCAGCTTCTTCCACCTAGGGACAGAGACATTAATAAATCTAAAAGAAAAGGCACTGAGTTTCAGTATATATATGGATCCTGCATAAGTAATGTGTCCAAGGAACTGACACTTTGTGAGAGCCAAGACAGCAAGTTCACCCCCGCCACTATGCAAGGTGTTACCAGCAAGTCTATTCTCAACCCTCTGTTCCCATTCACTCTGCACAGACCTCCACAAAGATGAAGTGACCTTCCCACATTATGTTTCCACAAATGTTTAATGAGGGTTTCTCCTATACCTATTAGCTCTTCAGGGAAGGGATTGGGTCTTGTTCTATTTTTTGTGCCTTTGTACTTAGCAAATTGATTCAAACTCAATACTCAGTAGGTCCCTGATATATTACATGAACGTCAGACAGTTTCTCCTAAGTCTTAACAACAGCAGGCCCTAAAGAAATAATCAGTAAGTAAATGGCCAGCATCCCAAGTGAATATCTTGAAACCACACCTCTGCAGGTCACCATCTCCATTCACATACCTCTTGATTGCCAACACTCTAGTTTCTTTCCTTTGTGGCTTCAGATGTGGTCACCTCTACAATGTTCTAACAAGCATCAGTTCCTCTGCCCAAGCCCTTCTACTACACAAGCCCTGCCAAAGGCTTGAGTCAAGATGAATGTGACATTCTCTTCTGTTCACATGTATATCATGGCAGCTGTACTATGACAGGAAGAAACTGTCACTTTGTCAGCAGTGCCAACTCTAGCAGATCTTCACCAGTCCCTTAACCTCTCCCTGATCAACAACCTTCCCAATTCCCTATAGACGGGTTTCCAATCTTGTAACTCCTGCACTTCCAGCAGATAATTTGCCTATCTGTTCATAGAGGAAATAAGGACCAAATGGCCGGAGCTTTCCCACTTTCTCACTCCTTTACTTTTGCTTGTCCTAGACAAATCACACATTTTTCTTCTTGTGTTCTGCCTAGTGAGGGGACAGATACTAGTTACAAGGACTGAAGAGAGGGTGATGGAGGAAAAATGAACAGCAGCCAATAACTACCTGTTGAGAAATATGATAGCAAAAGGAAGCAAAAATTTATTCTCCCCATAATGGAGAAATATGCACACAGGAGACTGAAAAGGCCCTGGAAATGCAGTAAGAAAGGGTGCCCAATGTCAGAGAAGACATTGAGACATGGACAGCAGAGATGCAATAGTTAAGGATGTAAAAAGTCTTCTTTTCTAAGACAGAAGGCAAGGATAAAAAGAAACAGAAGCAGATACTGGAAACAAAGATGACAGCAGAAGGGAAGAAGGAACTCACATCTACTGGACACACAAATTGTATTCAACAGCATTCTATAGATGCTAATTGCAAGAATTTGAGATTTGGCTGGGGATATTGCTCAGTTGGTAGAGTGCTTGCCTTGCATGCACAAGGCCCTGGGTTCAATCCCCAGCACCAAAAAAAAAAAAAAAAAAAAAAAAAAAGAATTTGAGATTTGGATAGCTCAGGCTTGAATCCCAAGTTAGCCACTTATTAGCTTATTGTGATTATAGAAAAGGTATTTAATTTCTTTAAGCCTCAGTGCCCTCATTAATAAAAATGGAAATAATCCTAACACCAATCTAAACTGCTGTTATGTGGATCAAAGAAAATTACACATATGTTGTGCTCAGTACAGTGTCTGGTACTAAGTAAGAACATAATAAAAGTTAATTATTACAAATTATCACCAGGCCCTGTACTAAGTTTTGTTTTTTTTTTTTTTAAACCTAAGTAAGATTCTTCAGTCTTCACAGCAAAATATTTAGTAGGAGAAAACCAAAGTTCTAAAGAGTTAAGTGATTTACTAAGTAGTAGGCATCGGGGTCAGAAGTTAACCAATGCACAACAAATCCATTAAATGATGAGCAAAGCTCTTCTATTGAGTGACAAATGGATAAAAATGGGATGTTTTAATAATGGGCCAGTAGCCCACACCTGTAACCCTAGTCACTCAGGAGGCTTCAGCAGGAGGATCACATATTTGATCAACCTAGGCAACTTACTGAAATCCTATTTCAAAATTTAAAAATGAAGGAAATAAAAAAAAGAGCCGGGCACATATCTCAGTGGTAAAACACCCCTGGGTTCCATCCCCATTACCACGGGGTGGGGGAAGGGGCAGAGGTTAACCATCTTTTTTTTTTTAGCTATAGATGGACACAATACCTTTATTTTAATGTGGTGCTGAGGATTGAACCCAGTGCTTCACACGTGCGTGCGAGGCAAGCACTCTGCTACTGAGCCAAAATCCCAGCTCAACCATTTCTATCTTAAGAGCAGAAAAGAGGGCTGGGGATGTGGCTCAAGCGATAGTGCGCGCCTGGCATGCGTGCGGCCCGGGTTCGATCCTCAGCACCACATACAAACAAAGATGTTGTGTCCGCCAAAAACTAAAAAAAATAAATAAATACTAAAATTAAAAAAAAAGAGCAGAAAAGATTTCAAGCAGTGATAAAAAAAGAACATGATGGGGTAATAAATAGAAAGGATGCTTTGACAAAATTAGACAAAAAGACAATTTAAACACTGATGTGAAATGACTCTGTATTATTTTGTGTTAGGTCTGTGAAATCACACGTTAAGAAATACTACTTTACACTGCTTCCCTACACTATGCTGAGGTAGGCTTTTGCTAGCATTTTATTTTATTAAAAAATATATTTTTTTGGTAATAGGGAGTGAACACAGAGGTGCTTTACCACTAAGCTACATCCCTAGCTCCTTTATTTTATTTATTTTAAGGCAGGGTCTCACTAAGTTACTTAGGGCCTCGCTAAGTTGCTAAGGCTGGCCTCAAACTTATGATCCTCCGGCTTCAACTTCCAGAGCTGCTGGGATTACAGGCCTGTGCCACCCCCTCCCAGCTCTTGCTAGCATTTTAGATTTTATCCTCAGGGTAAGGTCAACTCTCAACAGGGTTTTGGCATTCACTCTGGCTACCATGTAATTCACAAAGACTCCCTAAAAGCAAAGGAAGACAGTAGTGACCTAGACTAGAGCTACTCAAAGTAGCCATTCTGTGAACTGTTCCCAAGAGACAAGTAATGGTAGAATGCAAAGTTACCACTGCCTTTCTTTGAAGAAATCTTCTTATGAAAAGGAAAACAAACAAGAATCAGTGGAATTAAACAATGAGCTTACTTGCATTTTAAAGGGTCTCTAGGATAAGACAGACAAGAGGAAGCTAGGTCATAAGAATAAAATGGAAAGCAAAAATATTAATTCCCTGCTTATCAAATTTACCCTATAATGGAGGACAAAAACATGAATCAATAACTACTCTATTTATTGTAATATTAGAATCTGAATAAGTTCTTCAAAGGATAAAAATGTGCAAGTAAGAAAGTAACCTGACCCAGTTTGGGGTCTTAGGAGAAAGGGATGCTGAAGATTGATTGAGCAGTGTTTACTAAGTGGGGAAATGAGGGTAATCCGGTTAGAGGGCAGAGGCAAGCACTATGCTACTAGAAAGCTTTCTTCAGGTTAGTTGGTGCTGAAATTTCACTACTGTACAGCTTCCATTTCTCCACCTTGCCTTTAAGGTTATTTTGAATGACAGAGTGACACGCCCAAGGCTAAAATGAAGTCTAGTTCATCAATCAGTTCTTACAGAATCCATCTTCTTGAAACTAGGAACATCTTCCTCATTTTCTTACAATATTCCCCCTTAATATGTGATCCTTCAAAGTCAGCTCCAGGCCCCAAATATCCCAAGTTCTCTTCACATTCAAGATGTACTTTATCAGAACCAGAAGATTTAATTTAAGAAGGCAGAATGTTTTTCAAAGTGAGATCCAAGAACCCAATTGCATCAGAATTGCTTAAGGTGTTTTTATTAAAATGCATCTTCAATTCCTGGGCACCACCATAGACCAACCAAATTAAGAGTTGACAGAGCTCAGAAACCTGAATTTTAACAAGATCCCCAAGGGATCCTTCCATATTATTGTAGAGAATCCTTGAGTTAGTTGTGTTTTCAAAGCATCCACATTCAAATGGAGCTTCATGCCCCCAATATTAAACTCCCTTAAGTCTGAAGTGCACTTCTCTTTAAATAATCTGGCAAAGATGACAAAGCAGGCTTTTGTAGTCAGTGATTTCAAATCTGATTCTATTATTTTCCATCTAGGTGATCCTGGACAGGTTAATTTATTTTTTTCCAGGTCTCAATTTCTTCATTGATAACATGTGAATAAGAATATATTCATGGGGATGTGATTGCAATTAAGCAGGAGAGCCAGAGGAAGGCTATCATTCTCTGGAATATTTATATTTATAGTCTACATACCATTTATACCAAGATGAATAAAACACTACTAGGCACTGTGCTACATACCACGTATACAAGGATGAATGAAACATGGTTCCGTTCATTAAACTGCTGTTTCCAGGTTCTTGCATCTGTGCCTTTGAGGTTAAGGTCTAAATATTTTTTGAGTCTTTTCTAACCCATGTGCTGTCTTCTGTTCACAGATTCCACAAAATAATGTAGATACTCCCAGCCCTGAACTGTCTGAAGCCTCCTCAGCACTATACTAAACCTCTAGCATGGAATCACACTGAATCTTCTCCAGCCTTCTCTTGTCAGTTCTCCACACTGCTCAGATAAGAGTATGCATCTAGTTTCAGAGAACCTCGGATTAAATGCTGGTTCTACTGCATATTAGCTATATGGCTTTGGCACAGGGACTTAAACTCTGTGTGCTTCATTCTCTTCATCTGTTAATATATAATAGTGCCTATTTTAGGAGAATTAGATACTTTTTGAGGGGGAGTATTAGATACTTAGTAAACTTAAATGTCATTCTTCCAGGCTTTGAGATCCAATGAAATAGGTTAAATATCCTGGTCAAGCATCGTCATTCATTCCACTGCAGCACTTATTATCCTAATTCAATGTTTGCTTACCCCAGAAAGATAGGGAGCTTGCACCCTGCACAAAAGTCAACTCAAAAATGGATAAAAGAACTAGGAAATAGACCAGAAACTAGGCAACACGTGGAAGAAAATGTATGGTCAACACTTCAACATGTAAGAGGAGCAACAACTTCCTCAGTAGGACTCTTAAAGTTCAGAAATACCACCAAGAATTAATAAATGATGGATTAGGGATGTAGCTCAGTGGTAGACTGCTTGTCTAGCATTTGTGAGGCACTGGGTTTGATTCTCAGCACCACAAATAAATAAAATAAAGGTCTACTGACAGCTAAAAAAAAAAGAATTAATAAATAAAGTGGCATCAAATTAAAAATCTTTGCTTTTTTTTTTTTTTTTTTTGGTAATGAGGATTGAGCTCAGGCTCAGGGGCACTTGACCACTGAGCCACATCTCCAGCTCTATTTTGTATTTTCTTTAGAGACAGGGTCTCACTGAGTTGCTTAGTGCCTCACTTTTGCTGAGGCTGGCTTTGAACTTGCGATCTTCCTGTGTCAGCCTTCCGAGTCACTTGGATCACAGGCATACACCACCACGCCCAGCTCTACTTTGCTAGCTATTCTTGACAGAGACTTGATATACAGAATACATAAAAATCTCAAAAAACTTATGCCAAAAAAAATTAATGAATGGGAAAAATTGTTTTCCCATTTATTAACACCTTTTATTATTATTTTCCCATTTATTAACACACACCTCTCAAAAGAAGAAATACAACCCAGGCATGGTGGCACATACTGTAATCCCAGTGACTCAGGAAGCTGAGGCAAGAGGATTGCCAGTTTGAGGCCAGCCTCAGCAATGTAGAGAGACCCTGTCTCAAAATAAACAATAAAAAGGGCTGTGGTTAGGGCTAGGGATGTGGCTCAAGCGGTAGCGCGCTCTCCTGGCATGCGTGCGGCCCGGGGTTCGATCCTCAGAACCACATACGAACAAAGATGTTGTGTCCACTGAAGACTAGAATATAAATATTAAAATTCTCTCTCTCTCTCTCTCTCTCTCTCTTTAAAAAAAAAAAAGGGGCTGTGGCTCAGTTGTTTAGCATTCCTGGGTTCAATCCCCAGTACCAAAAAGAAAAAAAAAAAAAAAAGAAATATAAATAGCCAACAACTAAATGGAAAAAATGTTCAACATTGTTAGCAATTAGGGAAATACAAATCAAAACTACATTGAGATTTCATTTCACTCCAGTTAGAATGGCAGCCATCAATAATACAAACAAAAATAGATGCTGGAGAGTATGTGAAGAAAAAAGGAACACTTTTACCCTGTTGATGGGATTGTTAATCAATACAATCACTATGGAAATGAGCATGGAGGTTCCTCAAAAGACTAGGAATGGGGAGCTGAAGTTGTGGCTCAGTGGTAGAGTACTTGCCTAGCATGTGTGAGGCACTAGGTTTTATTCTTATCACTGCATAATCAATAAATGAATAAAATATATTTTTTAAAAAGACTAGGAATGGAACCACCATATGAGTGGTTCCACCAGTTACACAACTCCTTAGTACTTATACTAAAGAATTAAAGTCATCATACTATATTGATACATGCATACCTATGTTTATAACAGCACAATTCACAATAGCCAAATGGTTAGTCTAGGTGTCTGTCAATGAATAAGGAAAATGTGGTATATACACCCAATGGAGCTTTATTCAGCTATAAAGAAGAATGAAACTATGTCACTTACAGGAATATGAATGGAACTTGAGAGAATTATGTCAAGTAAAATAAGCCAAATTCGAAAATCAAGAGCAGTTTCTTTTTCTCTCATATGGAAAAGACAGAGAGGAAAAAGGAAAAGAAAGATGGTGGTGAGAATCTCATGAAAATTGAAGGGAGACCAGTAGAGGAAAGGGACCCAGGGAAGAAAAAGGGGAGGGAAAAGGGAAATATTTGGGAATGATATTGACCAAATTATATTATTATATTGTATACATGTACATAACAAGGAATCTCATTATTATGTGTAATTATAATGTACTGATAAAATATGGGGGGAAAACACAGGGAGCACATCTGTCTTACAGTGCTCTGTATCCACCTGATAATTAGTAAAATTCTGAGTCCACAGCAATACCCATAGAATATGATGAATGAATGATTTCCTAAGTCTGACTAGGCACGTTTATTCTACTGGGATACTAGTATCCTCTAAAAGCAAGTCTTTTTTTATGTTCAGAGGCAGAACTCTTTGCTCACTTTATCTTCTGAAATGAAATTTTCAGAAAGCAAATCAAGAATTTAACAAACACAGGCTGCAAATGTAGTTCAATGGTTTAGTGCTTTACTAGCATATGGGAGACTCTAGGTTTGATCCTAGCACTAAAGGGGGGGGGGCGGGAATTAACAAATATTTAACTTTTGGCTATTAACTATCTTTTTTCACTTCCTTAAGTGGCTATTTAAAAAATTAATCCTCCTAAAATAGTCTCAAGCTACTGTTCTAAAATTTGTTGTTCAAGTTCAGAATATCTGACTTGATTAGAAAATAGAGAGAGGATAGATGAACCGAAAAAAAAATAAAATAAAAAATAAAAAATTAAGATTACATATGTGACTCACATTAGATTTTTATGGGACATGATTATTTTAACTCTCTGCCTAAAAGGTATGTTGTATTTTCCCATGATTCAAAAACAAAGACACAACAGGGCTGGGGTTGTGGCTCAGTGGTTGAGTACTTGCCTCACATGTGTGAGGCACTGGGTTCGATCCTCAGCACCACATAAAATAAATAAATAAATAAAATGAAGATATTGTGTCCATCTACAACTAAAATATTAAAAAAAAAGACAAAACCCCTTAATGTCCTCTCATTTTTACCTATATGGAAACATATTCCAACTTTTCATAGTTTTTCTCAATATTGATATTTTTGATGCATGGGCTACTCTATTATCCTTGAGAACATGTCCGATTCTTTTTAGTAGGGCATAGTTTCCTACAACCAATCATTTTCAATGTTGGGTGTCATCGCAACAAATTCCAATGAAGTAGAGATTTGCCATCCTGTGGCTACTCTATTATCTATGCTGTCAACATTATGGTTAAGAACAGAAGGTCTGATTGGGCACAGTAGAACATGCCTGTTATCCAAGTTACTTGGGAGGCTGGGGCAGAAGGATCACAAGTTCAAAACCAGCCTTGGAAAATTAGTAAGATCCTGTCTCAAAATAAAAAACCATAAGGGCTGGGAGCTGGGCAGGTTGGAGCATGTCTGTAATCCCAGCAACTTGGGATACTGAGGAAGGAGGATCACAAGTTTGAGGTCAGTCTTAGCATCTTAGACCCTTGGCCACTTAGTGAATCCCTCTTTCAAAAAATAAAAAATAAAAATGGCTGGGAATGTAGCTTGGTGGTAAGCATCTGTGCTTTCAATCCTCAGGATCAAAAATAAGATGAAATAAAATAAAATATAAAGGGCTGGGAATGTAGCTTAGAGATAGAGTGCCCCTGGTTCAATCCCCAGTACTGCAACAAAACAAAACAAAACACAGGAAGTATGGGGCCAGTTTTGTTGTTCTAGCCAAAAAAACGTACTAGCTCTGTTAACTTTATTACTATTAACAGCTCTGTGCTTCAATTTCTTCAACTGAAACATCAGGGATGATAATGGTGATTACTTCATAGGATTGAGAAAACTGATTTTAGAAAGGTGCCTGGCAAATAGTTAAGTATCCAGCAAGTCACGACGACTATTTGTATCATTATACACATCCCAGAATTGCCCGAGGTTGCAGAAATAGCTAAATAGCAGAATAAACACTGGAATAAGGTCTTACCCCTAGTCAAATGTTTCTTTCATGAAACCAAAGCTGCTGTTTCCAAAAGCATAAGCCCTAGAACTAAATTAACGCATGCTGTTTATTGCATTTCAACGTTTTAAGAAATGCAGAAGCCGACAAAGGCAGTCTACTGTCGTGTTGCCCACTAAATTGCAACAAATAATCAAAACAAGTTTGATAATACCACTATCACTAGGTCAAAGGGTCACCGACGCAAACGAAATTTCAGGAAACAAAACAAAGCAAAAAAATTCTCTAGTCGCCCAAGGAAATTGTGGACCACGGAGACTTGGTTTCAGAGCTGACCCGGCTCGGCCGAGACTGCGCAGGAGGAGGGCGAAGCCAAATCTGCTCTTTGGACCCTCCCCCTCAAGTCTCGGGGCTCCAGACTGCGCCCGCCCGCCCCTCACCTCCGGCTCCGGGCGCTCCGAGGCCATCACACATCCCTCCCGCACCGGCCCGGGCCAAGGAGGATGTTCCACTCTTGACCCCTGACCTGTCTATCTCGTCACGAAAATGAAACCGGAAGTGGATGGGAAGGCCGAGTTCTGAGCTTTCTGATTGGTGGATGAAGCCCTCTCAGTCGCGCTAGCTGTCTGGGAAACCGGAAGAGGAAGTCGTTGCTGCAGCCGCCCCGCAGCAATGCAGGTGAGAACCCAGTTAGGCCTCCTGGCAGATAGCTAGCCCGGGATAACAGGACCGAGAGTGGCCTGGCTGATGAGAGTGAGGAGCTGGGGAGGCAGAACCTGCGGCTGTTATGGAAACACTGAACGGGAGATTGGGGGCGAGGCCAACTGGAAAGGGAGCGCAGAGGCCAGTGGGGATTGAGGCGGCTGACAGGAGGACAGTCTCGGCTCAGGCGAGAGGAAGGATGCAGCGCTAACCTCCTGAATGTTGGGAAGGATCAGGTTGTCATTTGGGAAAGCTGAGGATCAATCTAAGGAAAGACGGCTCAAGAAAGTGGTGGACTGACTCAGGCCCCAACTAGGCTGTTGGATGCAGACAAACAAGGGATCTGTAATTGGAGAGAAGCCCAAGGGCTGAAGGAATTGTCCGCGGAGGCCAAAAGCTAAACTATTTATAAAAATCTCAGGCTGTGGGTGGAACCCAAGGTCAAGCTCCTGTCGGGCACGTTCCTGAGTTTGCAAGACTGCTTTGCGTCATTCTTAACCAGCTTGTGCCCAGTAGTTGTTAAGGGTGAAGAAATGGAATAATATAAGAGCGTCCGACAATGGGAAGGAAATGCTTTACAGATTCCCAGAATTTAAAATTGTTTGTCTGGCTCTCAGAAACGTGCGAGTTTTCTTGTTTTTCATTTGTCATGAACTTACACCTGATAGTCTCTCAATAAATGCTCATGGGTCAACAGACTTGTGAAAGAGGCATGGGAATATTGGCAGAGATAAATGAGTGCACATTAACTCAACAAAGAGAAGGTCAAAACATCAAATGCTAAGGAGGCAGGGCCGAGAGAGTGCAGAGCTGGTTTTCAGAGAAAGCTTTGTGTATAGGCAGATGTCCCAGAAATTGTGTTGTTGACAAGAATAGCCAGGTTCACAAGGCAGATTCTAAGACAGAGGAATATGGTGTACATGTGCTGCAGAGGCACCCATAAGATAATGAACAGGCACTGGATCTGGTGAAATTTCTCAATGAGGAACAATAGGGTGTACCTAAAAAAAAAAAAAAAAATCATGAGAAGAACCATGCCTGGATTTGGGGTAATAAGAAAATCAGTTGGTAAGTAGGAGGAGTTGAGGTCAGGTGAACCGGTTGAAAGGTCTAAGGGTTGATGCTGTCTGTAACCCAGATGCCAAAGATAGAAAACAACTTGGCTTTTCAGCTTTATTCTGTATGTGTCACACTTTTGTGTCTCTCTGGGTAACCAACCTGTTCCTATTTGCAGCGAGAGGAGAAGCAGCTTGAGGCATCATTAGATGCACTGCTGAGTCAAGTGGCTGATCTGAAGAACTCACTGGGAAGTTTCATTTATAAGCTGGAAAACGAGTATGACCGGCTAACCTGGTAAGGGTTTCCAAGGCAAGCTGGGGAGGGCTGGATTTCCAGGGCAAGCTGGGGAGGGCTTACTGGGTGGGGGGGCCAGGCCTCTGATGGATAGGACATTTCTAATGATGTAACCATTTATCAGTTTGTAAACATCTTTTGATTTGGAAAGAGTTGGGTTGCCCAACATTGAAGTAAAGTTTGGCTTAGGGCCTCCATGATAAGGAAGTAGAGAAAAGCTCAGTTTCCCAAGCCAGGTTGTTTTTGATCCTTACACTTGGATTTTTTTTTTTTTTTTTTTTTTTTTTTCTGGTGAAGAGGCCCTTTTTGCTGGATCTCTTTCCACAGATGTGGCTTTTAGTCTTTTAGATCCAACCTACTCAGGAATAGTGGATCTTATTTCCAGGTTGGAAAGGAGAATTTTACCCAGTTTCTGAATTTTCAGTTGTAATACTATAGCTATGATTCCTATTTTGCCAGTGTTACTCACCCCTTTCAAACAATGAACTGCCTTTTTCTGTATCTGTGTCAGAAACTGAAAGTGCGTCCTTCTTTCCTAACCCCATCATTCCTGTTAGCCAATTTGGTTCTCATCTAGGCTAGTCATAGGGCTATGAGTCTTTTGAGCCTCTTAATTATTACATTACAGGGAAGGGTTGGAACATTCTATACTTTCTTATCACCACCAGGCCCTCTGTCCTGGACAGCTTTGCATTGCTATCTGGACAGTTGAACACTCTGAACAAGGTTTTGAAGCATGAGAAGACCCCACTGTTCCGTAACCAGGTCATTATTCCTCTGGTGTTGTCCCCAGATCGAGATGAAGATCTCATGGTAAGAAGAGAAAAAGTGTACAACTTGGGAAATTAAGTTCTTAGATGAAAGTCTAAGAATTTTTGATTGGTTATTCTAGAAGTTCTAAATGTGGGCTAATATGTGGCAGTGAGAAGGAAGGACTGCATTTTGGAGGCCTTGCTTTTTTTGTCCTGGAGGTGAGAAAGCTCCCAAATAGTGCTATTAAAAATCCAGATGCTTGGAAATGGAAGGAGACCCTCAGGGTTATACAGTGGAGGGGGTAGAGAGAGAGGAGGGGAGGGGAGGGGAGAGGTGGGGAGGGGGGATGGTGGAGGATGGGAAAGGCCGCGGAGCACAACAGACACTAGTATGGCAATATGTAAATCAATGGATGTGTAACTGATGTGATTCTGCAATCTGTGTATGGGGTGAAGGTGGGAGTTCATAACCAACTTGAATCAAAGTGAGGAATATGATATGTCAAGAAATTTGTAATGTTTTGAACAACCAACAATAAAAATTAAAAAAAAAAAAAATCCAGATGCTTATATCACCAAGACTTCTTCCAGTATCTGTCTTGCAAAAAAAAGTCCTTTTGTAACTTTGTCTATTCCAGTCTTTGATTAAAATGTGGCAAAGAGAGGAGTTTAATTTGCCCTTAAGTATGGTATAGATAGCCATGTGAGGAGACAGAAATCACAAGTAGAGGGAAAGAGACAGTGTTCTAAGAAGCTAGATATTGTGTTTCAAGTTGTTTTCCCTGAAAATGCACTGTTTGCCTATAGAAAGGAAATAAGGCTAGATCGAATTCTTGGAGTACATGGTAGGATCAATAAAATCTGTGTTACAGCGGCAGACTGAAGGACGGGTACCTGTTTTCAGCCATGAGGTGGTCCCTGACCATCTGAGAACCAAGCCTGATCCTGAGGTTGAAGAGCAGGAGAAACAACTGACAACAGACGCTGCCCGCATTGGTGCTGATGCAGCTCAGGTTGTACTAAGTCACTGCCCTGATGATTCCATCTCCATCCCTTGATGAGAAGCAAACATTACCACTCCTATGTAGTAGAGATACTCAATTATTGCACTAAACTGTCTCTGGAAGAAATTCTCCATAGTCGTTTCCTATTTATTTTAATCACTGCACCATTTGTATGTTACAGAAGCAGATCCAGAGCTTGAATAAAATGTGCTCAAACCTTCTGGAGAAAATCAGCAAAGAGGAGCGAGAATCAGAGAGTGGAGGTAAAGAAGTATTGGTGACAGAGGGAGACATGTATAATAAGATGACTGGAATAGCCATGGTGGTTTGGGTGGTAATAAAGTGAAGACACAGAATGAACTGCTTAGGAAAGGGTTTGCAACCATACTGCTAGCCTTTTGTGTTTAAGGCCAGCCCTGAAGCAGGTAGAAGAAATGGCAAAATGAAAAGGGAAAATTTGAGGATAGGTTGGAGGGTATTCTGACTTTTCCTCTGCACTGTGAGAGTCTAGATGATGCTGAAGTCAGAACTCCAAACCCTGGCAATCTGCAGGCCCTCCAGCTGCTAGGTTCAGACCTAGGACCAGATGTATACTTCATGGTCCTCCTTTTTCTTCAGGTCTCCGACCAAACAAGCAGACCTTTAACCCTGCAGACACCAATGCCTTGGTGGCAGCTGTTGCCTTTGGGAAGGGTCTGTCTAATTGGAGACCTTCAGGCAGCAGTGGTCCTGGCCAACCAGGCCAGCCAGGAGCTGGGACAATCCTTGCAGGAACCTCAGGATTACAGCAAGTACAAATGGCAGGAGCTCCAAGCCAGCAGCAGCCAATGCTCAGTGGAGTGCAAATGGCTCAAGCAGGTCAACCTGGTAAGGTGGCAAGGGTGGAAATGTAATTGACTTTGAACAGGGGAATAGAGATGATCAGGATTATCTAGGCTCCCAGCATCCCCAGACCTGGGGGTTTTCTCCTTTGCATAGTGACTCAGAAAACAGTTTTCAGCAGTAAAAATTCTCATCTGAAACTCTGAAGCAGGCATCAGAGAGTAAGGAACAACTTTGAGTAGGAGAAACTGCTCTCAATTTCTACCCCATCTCATACCTCTTTCTCAACTGTCCTGTCCCATTTACTCTGGAGATTAGGTTTGTGGTCAGTGTCTCTTTGTGGGTAGAAAAATCAGTGGTCAGCTAGCTGTGGAGTGCTGTCCTGTAACCCCAGTGATTTAGGAGGCTGAGGCAGGAGGATTGCTTAGGGCCTCACAGCAACTTAGTGAGGCCCTAAGAAACTTAGAGAGACCCTCCCTCAAAATAAAAAATAAAAAGGGCTAGGGATGTAGGTCAGTATGTAAGTGCCCCTGGGTTTAATCCCCAGTACCAAAGAAAAAAGAAAATCAGTGGTCAGACCTTACTTAATCAAGGTTATTTGGAAGATGCATCAGGAATTGACAAGGAGGCAGTTTCTTGTTCCTACTGGTATTATTTTCTTTGTATCCTGTCTCTCTTGCCTTCCTGCCTTCTCTTGTACTCACTTTTAGTAATTAAGAGAATAGTCTGGAAGAATTCAGATGCAAGCAGCAAGAAGAGTTATTTCTTACATGCTGTCTAGGAAAAAAGACAACAGAATCAAGAGAAAACATAGCCTTTCTTTCTTTCTTTCTTTTCTTTTTTTTTTTTTTTTTTTTTTTTGTGGTACTGGGGATTGAGCCGGGGGCACTCTACCACTGAGCTATATGCCCAGCTGTCTTTTTTTTTTCTTTGAGCTAGGGTTTTGTTAAATTGTTCAGGCTGGCCTGAAATTTGCAATCCTCCTGCCTCCTGAGTAGCTGGGATTACAGATACATACCACTGTACCTGGCAAGAATACAGTACTCTTTTACCTGTAACACTGAACAAGGATCACACAGGTTTATGTGTCTTTTCTAGGAGTAGATAAGCAGGACACCTCTCCCACTATTCTCCCAAATCACCCCTTTCCTCCTAGATACCTTCAGGGAGGGAGCTGGTGAAGAACCACACCTCTGATCTCTGCCAACCAGGGTCAGATGCCACAGGGGTTCTGCAATGATAAAGGAGATGGCAGGAGGGAACCTGAGAAACGACATTTCTGATTTATTGTGAAAGTCTTGCCTTGCTTCAGATGTCTTTCTTCGCATTCCTTTTAGGGAAAATGCCAAGTGGAATAAAAACCAACATCAAATCAGCTTCAATGCATCCCTACCAGCGGTGAGTGTGAACAGCAGCCTCTAGTACCAGGTGATCTTGCACAGTTGTACAGTCATATTACCTTTGCTCAAGGCTCACCTAGATGGGTGCAATAAACAGAACATGGGCTTTCAGCAACAGACAGAGCCCAGCTCCACTGGTGACTACTAGCTATATGACTTTGGGCAACAGACCTAAGTTTTCTGAACCTGTTTTCTCATTTGTAAATGGTGATGATACCTACCTCATAGGGTTGTTATGAGGATTAAAATGAGAAAATGACTGTAAAACATTTAGCACAGTATATGAAGTAATGGGTGCTCAATAAATGGTTGTTTTCATAGCTACTTCTTCACTCTGCCCTCCACAGTTCTTGATCCAGAACCCACCTGATGTGCTGCTATTCCATTGTCAATGGTGAGCTGATGAACCCAGAATCAAATAAGCCTGTGCTTATTTTGTGCTACTAGAAACAGTAACAGCCTGGATATCCTTTGAGGCATATTGGCTCTCAGGTGTCTCCACTCAGGTTCCACCCTGCTGTCCCTCTAAGGTTCAGATGAAGAGACTTCTGGGTGGGGACAAACCTTCTACCTACAGCTGTAATGAAACTTAGGCCTGTCCATCTCTGAAGGCAAGTTAAATTCTTATATGGGAAATACATAAAAATCCTCATCTTTTATCCCATCTTGTACACATGAAGGAGGATATCAAGGGGCCAGGCAAGACTGTGTGAGAAAGGGTTTCTCTGTAGCACATGTAAATCCCCTTCTTCCTCTTATTTTGGAGGAAGAGGTGATTGCCCTTCACACTGTCTTCAGGGTTTAGTTTGTATATAATTGTGCCTTGATCCTGCACGCTGGTCAGGATGGTTTTCCTCCATTAAATTAACTCTATGGTTTAGGTAAGAGCCAGATCAATAGTGGGAGCGGGCAGCCCAATAGCATTGCCTACTTTATAGAGTTGAAGAGCAGAGTGTGTTTGGACAACCAGCCTGTGCTGCCTTTCTCAGTACTCCTTTGTGAGCAAGCACAGAGATTGAATCAGCTGAAGTGGACCAAAGGATTTCTCTATGAAATAAAGGTATTTAAATTGATATTAACTAGCTCAGCAATTTATGAGAGCCAATATAGGGATCAGAGACAATTCCATTAGTGAGTGCTACAAGGCAATTCAAATTTTTTTTCTCTATAAAACATTAATCTTTAATTAGCTTTGCACTAGAAACCCTGAGACTTTCTTACTTCTCATCCTTCCAGCTGCCTTTCCTGTTCTGTCACACTGGTACTTTGGCCTTTGATTGGTACCAAACAGCACTCTGCCAGGCTGTGGCAGCAGAGGCCAGGACAAGTGGTCCTAGTTGTCACCTGTTGCTGTCCCAACAAGATGCGGAATGATGTCCATAAAGCTTAGTGACCACAATACACTGCAGTAGGGGAGTCCTGTCATCAGCTCTGAGGCAACACCAGACCTTTCCCCCATTTGAATAGTCTGGCCCATTAACCCAGTCATGTGTTGTTTATCTTCTCACCTTTTCCCTTCCCACTGGAAACATCAGAGCTAACTAGGATATTGGACAGAGCTCCAGCCATACTTCTATAAAACCCTTGGAGCAACTTTTGGTGACTTTCTCCTTTACTTCACCAGTGGTACAAACCCTATGTTTCTTTGTTGTCTCAGCCTGATACTGACTTCATTCACATAAAGCTATTAAAGTGGATTCTGTGTCCTCCAAGAACAAATATCCTCCTGTCCCAACAAAAATAAATGTACAACTTTACCTAAATCTTTTGCCCTTAAGCAAAGATTTTACTTCTTACTCTGGAGTGCTCATACCTAAGTATTAGTCATTCTGTGAGTACATGCTCTCTTTTCCACCCCACCCCCCGCCTGAGGTACATGCTTTCATTTCCACCTTCCACCTCTGGGTACACAAAGCTGTCACATCTCCCACTTGGGGGCCCATACAACCCAGAATCCAGAATGGAGAGAATGTATCTCTCCTAACAGTCCCTAAGGAGGGACTGTATATGGAGTTTCCTTTGAAGAAGAGAACATGATATGCTTACCTGCTCAGATTTAAGATTTGCAAAAGCTGACCGGTGGCCTACTCTGGTAGTTTCTCTGTTTCTTACTGTCCTGTTTTGCTCAGGGATTGTACTTTCTCCTACCCTTGGGGCCCAGGGAGAAAGGGATTAGGCCTTGTTTCCCAGGTTGTTTCTGGGATGGAGAAAGAAGCAACAGCTGTGAAACCTCAAGTACCACAGCACAGTTCATCCCACAAAAGATGGAGGCTTATTGAATTAATGTCAGCCTAATGCCCATTGCTTAGAACCTCTCCAGTTCTACCTTGAGGCTGGGATTCGGTCATTGCTGAATCTCCTTTTCTTCATTGCCCAGGTTGCAGTGTTCTCTTCCCCTCCCTGTATGTATTGCTTCTCTACTTAGCTGGCTTACCTTACTCAGCCATGAGCTTTTTTGGGAAACGGCTAAGATAGGTTGTAGCCAAGTACTCCTTCCCACTCCATAATGGGTCCCACCATTGGGCCTGAGCTGGAAGGGATGTTATAGCCCACCTCCTGTCATGCTGCTGGAGAAAAGAAGCTGAACTCTGCAGGAATGCCCCAGTGCAAGGCTGGGCCCCTTTCCTACCCCCTTTCCACCTCCCCCAAGCAGCTGGAAACAACCTCTCCCTTTGTCTGAGTTTCTTGTACAGAATAATCCTCCTTATGGACAATGTATTCTCTGTGTCCCATGGACACAGGAGCCGTGTGAGCTGATCCCAGCACCAGGCAGGACGGAGGCTGAATCCTTCCAAACGCCCACCCTGGGTCAGCTCCTAGAGGAACTACTAAAGGGTGAATATTTTCTTCTGTCTGCCTCAGATTTGGGGGGATAGCCTATTGCAGTTTAGCATTGGCCAGGACCAGAGTTTTCCTTTTTTGCTCAGCCTTGAGAGTCCACAGTCCTAATTTAAGGATGTTTGATGTGGTTTTTGCCTGAAAGTCTCAAATGCATAGGGGCACGGGGCTTGGTGGTGCACTCTTGTAATCTCAGCGACTTGAGAGGCTGAGGCAGGAGGATCCCAAGTTCGAGGCCAGCCTCAGCAACTTAGTGAGACCCTATTTTAAAAAATTAAAAAAGGGCTGGGGATGTGGCTCAGTAGTTAAATACATCTGGGTTCAATCCTATTACCAAAAAAAAAAAAAAAAAAAAAAAGAATAGCTAGCACTTGGAAAGGGTTTGCAGACAGCACTTTCTGATTAGAACAGAAGGCAAACTCTATCACCGATCAGGACCATGGTGCTTTATCACTTTGACATGTCCCTCAGGACAGACTTTCTCTCTTGTTCTTGAGCTCCCATGTATCACTGAGGCAGATCATGGGTTCTTTATGTGGTCTCTTGATAAGTTATATACTCTCAGGATATCAGCTACCATTTGCACATGGCAACTTCCCTGGGCACAGCATGGAAAAAGCTTCTGAATTCCTGGAACTTAATTTTCTTGCCTGAGTGATCCCAGAGATCTTTCTAGCTTATCAGGCTCTGACAGTAATTCTCAAGCCTCTGGTCCCCAGGAATATTTTTGTTTTCTTCACTGTAGGACCATGATACTTGATAGGCCACTGTTTTCCTAAATTACCCCTAAGTCTCTCAGACTGCTATAAACTGCTCCAAAGTTCCCTCTCTGTTGCCTACAACTTTATATATCAGCATCCTTCTAGATAATTTTCTTGGCCCTGTTTTCTAGCTTTCATATCATTCTCTGGTGAAGATCCATCAAAGAGGTGGTTAAGTTACCGAAGAGGTACAGGTATGACAGTGGTCACCTTCCCACTCTGACATCTCTCTTTTCTCTGGGAAAGAGATTTGTAAAGAGAGACTCCTTTGGTATAGGCAAGAAATTTTACTTTTTAATGACAGTAACCTTCTTTACTAGATGAAATATAAAATTTTCTGGGCCTTTTCCTCCTCTCTCTGCTACTATACGGCCTTTTCTCACTCTCACCCTAATTTCCTAGTTTGTGCTCCATTTGATTCTTCATCGTGTTTGCCCACACCCCACATGTAGACCATCCTTTGTTCTTTTTGCTAATTTTCCTGGGCAAAACCTATTGTCATGGACCTAGTTAATGTTGTTTTAGTTAGTGTCTCTTCCATATTAAAAATCCTTCTTGACCCTGTATAGTCTCTCATTAGCTCACTCACAGGCATGCTCTTGAAAAAAAGAGCCTATAACAACCACCATCTCTTCTACCTCCCTATGTTTCAGCCCCTGTAGTTGGGCTTCTGCTTCCACCATTTTTCTGAAACAATATCAAAGACTGTTGTTGATCTAATGGCTAAATAATGAGTTTTCCCCAATTCTTATATTAATATCTCCATTGCATTTAACAATGCTAACCATTTCCTTTACGTCTCTCTCTCCCTATTTGGCTTGTATGGCATGCGTTGTCCTTGTTCTTCCACCTCTTTGTACATTCCTCCTCTGCAGTTTTTGGACTTCTATACTTCTGCTTGCTTCTTGAATGTGGCCATTCTCTGGAACTCATTCTCAATCTTCTTTTCTTCTTATGTTACCCACTTTCTCTGTGACCACCATTTTTATGTGCATAAGTCAAACTAAGTTTTACTTTTAGTCCAAACCTCTTTGCTTAGCTGCAGATTCTAGTTGGGCATCTCTACTCACATGATCCCCAGGTACCTCAGGTTATAGATGTCTAAATCCAGTCATCTTTTCCTCTGTATCTGTTTCTCTTCTAGTTTTTCTGGGTGTTACCTAAGCCAGGAATATGGAAGCCATTCTAAACTATTCTCCTTCCATGTTCCCAGCTAGTCCCCCTTTATAGCAAATCAGATACCAAATCCTATCAAATTCTCTCTTCAATATCCATCCATCCTGTCCCTCTGAGTCTCTCCATAAAATTATTATTCAGACTCCCTATCTCCAGATCTTTCTAAACAAATCTCATCCCATACTCCCTTGATTAAAATCCTTTTGATAGTTCAGTCCCTCCGTTTCTCAAACTGGAGTCCACATAACCTGGCAGATTCATAGGCATACTGAAAGTCACAGGATGAAATTATCCTAAAATTTTCATTTGAGGGTAAATAATTTAAAGTGGAATGGAAATTTAGCATGCATGCACTAGTAAGAGAAAATAGATGTCAAAGAATTCCTGCTAGTCTGAAGGGCTTCAAGCTAAGATACCACATTCCCTGGGGATTTTTTTTTTTTTTGAGTCAGGGACATAACATTCACTTCAATGGAAAAGTTTTAAAAGTAACTCACATTTCCTGGAAAGGCAAGTAAGATTCTGTGATCTAACCCCCTGCCTCCTCCTGACTTATCCTCTACATTGTCTTGCTCTCCACTTAATTCCAAAAACCATATAAACTGCTTACAGTTTCCTGAATGTAATAAGCTCTTTCAAATCTCTATTCCTTTATCCACACTGTTCCTCTGCTTTGCTCTATTGTTCTGTCTGACTAATACCCAATTATCTTTCACAACTCATCTCACAAGTCACCCCCCAGTGAAGCTTTCCACCGTCCCAGTCTGTTCACAACTCAACACCACTCTCACCAGGAAAGGTCAGTTACATCCTGTTTTATGCTCCTCTTTTGTACCCTGTACACTGCATATTCTGGCTCCTGCTGCACTTTATTGTCCCTCAAGTTTAAGCACACTGAACTGTTAGAGTTTGAATCAGTTCTCCCACCTGAGAACTGACTGATCTTTGGCAAGATAATGTGTGTGTCTGGTATACTATAGCATCTGGCCCATCATAAACAGTAACAGTGTTAGTGCCATTACAATTATTTCTGTTATGATTTGACTTCAGAGAGGTAGTCTAAAATAACATTTTGGTTGAAAGAGCAGGTTCTAGTGCTAGAATTGCCTGGGTTCATGTCTTACCCCAGCCACTTACTAACTGTAACCTTGGGCAAGTTAATTTATCTATGACTCTTATTTTCTTATTTCTGTGAATAATAATAATAGTGGCTATTTCATGGGGTTGCTGCAAGGTTTAAGTGAGTTAAATGCTTAGAATGGTGCCTGGGAGTAGGACGAATTCAGTATACATTAGCTGTCCCCAGGATAGCAGCTAGAAATTTGCTCTCAGTAATTGTTGCTTGAATAAATGATTGACCAATCCCTCTAAGAGGTTGTAACCTCTCCCTCTACACTCCCTGTGCTGATGCTTCAGGAACTGTCCTCAGGAGACACCTTTTGTGCAGAATTCATTCCCTATGATAACTCCCTAGCAACTAGTGCAGAAGGGATAGGAGGATATTTTTATATTGGATTGCCTGACATGATGAATCAATTTTTAATCTAATTTCTCCCACTTATTTGTTGTCTGTGTTTTTCTCTTAAGTCCCAGTTTGGTATTAAATTGTGTTATTTCAGTTTGAGCACAAATTACAAGCTCCCTCACCATTTTTCATCATTTCTGAATAGTATTTCCTCGCTGTTCAAACCAGTTAAAGGCTCATTCCAGTCCTCCTATATTCTCTCCCAGAGGGACTCTTCATCACTCACAGTTTCTCTCTCTGCAGTTGTGATGAGTCCCTGCCTCCCTTGTCTGGGCTTTCCAGTTGGGGCTCAAGTCTTCCTGATTGGCCATGTGTAATTCACTGGATCAGAACCAGAGCTCCATGCTTGCTTCTCTTCCCCTCAAACTCATCACCAGTCCTTCAGACTGTATTTTATGGCATCTTCCACCATTCTTTTTTAAAAAATATTTTTAGTTGTACATGGACACAATACCTTTATCCCTGAGCTACAACCCCAGCCCCTTCTACCATTCTTACTACTTTGCTTTTAAGTGCTATCTGTTACAGTCATAAGAAAATAAATATCCACAGGCCATATGCTGCCTCACCCCTCCGTGACTTGACATGTTCTACCCACTTGGAATGTCTGCCTTCTCTTTCCTGCTTCTACCTGGTGGAAAATTCATCCTTCCAGTTCAAGTGTCACCTGCTCCTGTAAAATCTTCATAACCTCTTCCCTGTATACTTGATCATTCTTCAACTACCTCTCCTGTACCTCTACCCACTTCTTTATAGCACTCAAAATTCTATGGTAATTTATTTTTTATAAGTTCAAATCCTGGCCTGGATACTTACCCACATATGACCTTAGGCAAGTTGCTTTACTTCCAAGAACCTTAGTTGCCACCTCTGTAAAATAGGATTATAGTACTGACCTCAAAAGTATGGAGCATATTTCAAATAAAATTCAAACCTATAAGTACTCTTAATTTTCTATAGGATTAAGTCCAAGCTTCTCAGAAGGGCATACAAGAGCCTTCCAGCAAACTGTCAGTGCTATTACCCTATTCTCTCTCCTGAGAAATCACTTTTGTCTGGTGATATATTGGACTGTTCTGATTGTGACACATTACAATTAAATTAGTTTAACCAAAAAAAAAAATAAATAAAGATCCAATCATATTTGGGTTATGCAAATGATTTCAGATGGGCTCAGGGGCTCAAATGTCTGAGCTCTGTCTCTGTATTTTTCCATTCCACATCATTATATCTCATCTCATGGAAAAACTTTGGGTTTGCCAGGGTTAAATGCCATTTAGATTGGATTAATGGGGGCATGGGGAAGGACACCAGGATTAATGAACTAGAGGAGTCTAGGAGGAAAACCTTAAATGAAAGCGGAGATGGGAGAGTGAATTCAGCCTTCACAGTATGCTTTGTATGTTTTCATCTATACAGAGAATCCTGAGATTTCTATTTTTTCTCCTGTCCCTTCCTTTCTCCTGAATTTAAAATTACTGTTTCTGTTGTCTGCTAAAATGCACCATCTCACCTCAAACTCAGGATAACCCAGATTGCTTTCTTTTTCTCCATTTGCTCCATGTGAGTTATCCAACTTGCCAGTCTTGTTTAGTTTGGGATCCTCTCTCTGCTCTTCCCCCACTTTCCACCGTTGGTCTAGGTCAGGCCTTATTGTGTCAGGGTAGTTCCGCTGTGGGGATCCCCAGCTGGTCTCTTGATGATAAACCTACTGTCACCAGGTTTGTCTTTCAAAACCTAACCAGGATCATATCAGCCTCCTACTCAATCTTCAGGGACATTCCCTGTACAAATTAAATTCTTCACTTTTTATCCAAAACACTTCATGATTTCAACCTACCTTTAACCTTCTATCATAGGGAGGCCTTTCATTCACTGCATCTTTTAGACACACTGAGTCCCCTTCCGTTATACTGTGCCTGTCCTTGCTTTCCTGAGTTGGTTTCTTTGTCCCTGTATTTTCCTCAGCCAGAAATACCTGTGTTGCTTCCACCTTGCTTGCTATGTGATCTTGAGCAAACCCCTCAACCTCTCTGATTCTATTATTCTGCTAAGAGGCAATAATTGCATTGACCTTACAGGAATCAATCACAAGAGCATATGGAAAGCAGTTGGATGCATGATTTTCAGAGAATGTACTCTTGGCCCTTCTCACACATATTCTGGGTCTTTCTAGCTCCTTCATCCTGATAACCTGCCTTGGTTGTTTCCTAACAAAAAGCCTCCCTCTTTTCTCTCCAGAGCTTTTCCTGCAAGTTTTGTCTCATTCCATCCCTCTTCCTGAGTTTCTTCAGTTCAAGGAACACGAAATGATATCTACAATGTGTGGCACTGGCTGTCCACTGATGGATCAGACCTTTCCCTGACTTTTTAGGGGTCCAGGCATGCCTTCAAATACCAAATGATGAGTGTTACATGAAGTCTCTCCCTTCTGGCCAGATGTCTTTCCAGACCCAGTCCCTTCAGCCAAGATCTCAGGCAGAGGACGCCAGTTAGCTGACTGAGGCCCAGGGATGCACAGAATAATTAACTGGTGAACCCTTTGCCCTCAACTTTGCTCCCTGTCCTCATGGGCTTACCCTCCCCTCAGCTTCTCTGTGTGGGTACTATGTAGGAAATGCTCCTTGTCTTTTACAGGATGGGGATGGGAGAAGTTTGAATGCCAACCAGAGGCTGCATTCATTCCCACCTGGACTTCTATGGCCCTCACCAAAAACCCTTAGGTCCTGTTGTTCTTAGCCGACTGCCTGTGAGTCCCATTTACTATTCCTTCCACTGTTCCACCCACTCACTCATGAACATGTAGGAATTTTTTTTTTCCATTTCTTCCTGTCATTTCTACTTCTCTGACCCTTTTAATTTTTGTGCTAATACAGAGCCTCAAACAATCATGGGAGCAGAGTTGATAGAGTTCATACAGGCTGGACCCTTGGAGAAACTCCACTGGTTTACCTTCTGGGAAAAGAAAACAGAAGGGCCCCTTCAAGAGAAGTGAATGGAGAGTGAGTCACACAGGGTGGAACTTTGAAGTCATCACTTCACTTCCCATGAGTCAGGAAGACTCTAGGAAGGATGTGGAATTTTAGTTGTTGGACTGAGTATTCTTTCCCCATACCGTGGGCCTTCATCCTTATCAAACCTGTGGATTCAGTTTCCCTAGTTCATTAGCCCACTGTGGTTTGGTTTTCCTTGTATCCAGGTAGAAGAAAGCATGGCCTTGAACCTAGTTTTCCTGCAGATTCCAAAGAGTCCCATTTCTGCTGTCCTGCCTCCCATTTCCTGAGCTGGGTTGGGGAGCATCCTCTTCACAGTCTCCCATCTAGAGGGGCCAGTATCTCTGCCCAGTGCTTGCCATCAGCTGTACCAGACTTTTACCATTTTTCAGAAACTCCTCATCCTATAATCCTGTTCAGCGAATGCCTCACCTTCTGACAAAAGAGAAAATAGACTTCTTCAAATAAAAACTCCCTCAGTCTCCTTCCAACCCACTGACAGACACTCTTCTCTTCCACATATTTTAGTCTGCAAGGTATTCTTAGCCAAAGACCAATCCCGCCACATGTGTTGGAGTTCAGTGCCTTGTTCCACACAGCATATAAACATGCTCCAGCCTCTTCCTATTGGTTAGGATCAATCTGGGGTTGAGAACCACATGCTGATATTTTAAAAGTTTCCCAGCTGTTGCTGAAAATATAAACAATAAAATCCAAATGTCTTACCAGGGCTACAAGGCTCTTCATAAACTAACTCCTGCCTACATTTCCTACCTTTACCAATGCACTCTGAGCTGGAGTGCTACCAAACTACTTACAGAGTTGCCCAAACCTGCTATATTTTTTGCTTCTGTGTGTGTGTGTCCCTCTGCTTGGAAAGCCTTTCCCTGCCATCTAGAAAGTGCTCTAATGTTCAACTTTAGTGTCATTTCTTGGAAGTCTTCGAAAGTAACCTTCATGCTGTGTGAAGGCGGCCCCCCCCTTCCCCAATGCTTTCATAACCTTCTGGGTTTATCTCTTCAGCTGAAACTTACCACATACTACTCTAGTTGTTCATGGATATGCTCATCTTCCCCATGGTGAGTGTTTGTAGGAACTACAGAGCCATGGAAATGCCACTTGGTAGACTTGAGTCTATATTAGATATTGGAAGATGCTTTCTCTCAGGAGCAGGACAAGGCTGAATAAAGTGTCTTTGAGTACATTCATTCATGTAGGCACTCAACATTTACTGAGGACTTGCCATGGTCATTTACCAATGTAATCCAGGTGAATAAATCTATAGATGAAGAAGTATCCTGTCACTATTTTGTCTGGCCTCTGGAACAGTCTCATCATCTATAATAGTCTGCTTTGTGTATCTCTAGTGGACTCTCATGACTGACACTTAAAACCCCTCAGTAGCTTTCTCAGAACAGTTCTTTGCACACAGTAAGTGTTTAGGAAATATTTTAAATGAATGCTCACAAATCCATATACAAATATGTACCTTCTTCATATATGGGCTTCTTCCTCACTTTGCCAGTTAAATGTTGAGACAGAAACAATGCTACGTATTTCACATGGTTTATCTCCTTTTATCTGCACAATAATTCTATGAAATAAGTGTTGTTATGGTTCCCATTTTATTGAGGTTTCAAAATTTACCTAAGGTCATATAAGTACCAATTGAAACATTAAAACTCAGGACTTTGGAGTCAGGTGTGACCTCAAAGCCACTAGAATATATCTGGAAGACATTAGGACTTCAATAAATATTTATTGGCTCCATGAATACTGCTTTCAAGTGGAGGGGAGTGGAAAGGTTTTTGAATTATTTCCCTTTCTACTTGATTCTGGGTCCCTTGGTCTCTTTCCTTTTTCACATTGTCCCATTCACTCTAACATCCACTCAGAAAACATTATAAAGGTTCAGCTGAGTGGGTCAGATGATAGATTGTATTGATACTTGAGATGACTCAAGTATTGCCCCTGTTGAGAGGAGCTTGTAGTTGGGGTTGAAAATTACATTAGAGTAAAATCATGGGAGGAAGAGAGAGTGACTTACTGGCTGGGAGACTGGACTGTGCTTTTGTGCTGAGCCAGTGGGTAAGGCTTGAGGGTAAGGGAGTATGAAAGACATCTTGGGGGATGGTAAAGCACTGGTATGACTCAGGAGGGTGACAGAGGTAGAATAAGAAGACTAGGTAGGGACTAGATCAGGTTGAACCCTAGCATACAATGCTAAGGAGTATGAGTTCTTTGAATACTTGGATTCTTTTGCCATTTTCTTAAAAGTGCAGGTACTAATGGGTTGGGTTAGATCTGTACTTTAGCTTTTACTTCTTATCTAAAGTCTAGGATGAAAATTCCATGTGGCTACATCCCATCATTTATGAACATAGTATTCCTCCCAGCTACCATCTTTCCTGAGTTCTCTCAATTCTGTCCGTATTTACAGCATCCAATTTTACAAGCAGTTATTGGATCACTGTATGCAAAGCACTGGCTAGGAGCTGCTGGAGGTATAGGTTTCATGAAACTAGGTTTCATGAAACCTGGTTCTTGGCCAGAATAGTTAAGTCTAGTTGATGAATGTGAGAGGATCAGGCCAGGTAGTATAGAGCTGACAATTAAATACGGAGAGATATAGTACCTCTTGAGAAGTTTCCACATAGACAATGTGTTTCCTCCAATTTTATCAGGTTCTTCCCAGGTCCTGCTGTTGTCTTTCACTTGGTCTCTCTTCATTACCCTCCTTGGTCACCTAGACTATAAACCCTGAGTCCAGGGACACTGTCAACAGAACCTAACATGGTTTTACACATTGTAGGTAGTCAATGTATATTTGATGAATGATTGACACAAACCTGATAATAGTCTTGAAATCTTCAATTTCTCCTCTGCTTCTAGAATAAAAATCAGACTGCCCCTTTGTCTTCAAGACCTTCTAGGTTATGTCACAGCCAACTTCACTTCCTTTTTCCCCTTTCACTACCTTGAAGGCCAGTTTAGCCAGTGATTCACAGTTCTTGCCCGGGGCCACTTGTATTCTCCCACCTCCGTTCCAGGAAATTCTCTTGGCGTCTCCTAATGCTAGGACTCATCCAAGTTTATAGGATCGGTGAGAAGGCATCGGTAGCCAGTTGCTCCCTCCCGCTAAGCCCTCCCAGACACCCCAATAAACCCCTAGCCCGCCTGGCCGGCCGGCCCCCTTCAAAAACAGGGCTGAATCCTAGAACTTCCTCCCAGAGTCCTAGCAGGGCCTGCCGTCAGACGGCGGGTGTTTGTTGGTGGACTGGTCAGAGGGCCGAGGATGGGACCCGTCGGGTGCTGGACGTCAGAAGAAGCAGGGTGCTCCCAAGGTGGACCAGGCCGCAGGCACCAGCCGCGGCCGGCTGGGAGATGCGAGGGAAGGGGTGGGGAGCCGGGCTGGGTGTGCTTCCTGCCCCGGGATCTGGCGGCCCGCCCCTGCCCCCGCCCCTGCGGCCCAGCCGGCGCTGGACGGCCCCTCCTGCCTGGGCTGGTCGCCCAATCAGCAGGCGCCCCCCGCCCGGTCCGCCCCCTCCCCCTCTGGTGACAGAAAGTCGGCCCAGCAGATGAGGAAGTGGCAGGCAGGATAGCCCTGGGGACTGCTCTCTGGCCCTGCTCCCCCCACCCCCCGAGTCCTCCACCGCTGTCCGCCTGGCCCCCACTGGTGAGTCTGGACCTTCCACAGCTCCCCACGTGCCGGCGCCCCCTGCCTGGCAGGCCCGGCTAGCCTTGCCCTGCCCTGCCCTGCCCAGGCTATGGGCGAGGCTGTTCCTGGGGCGAGTGGGTGGGAGGTCCCAGCTCCTGGGGCCGGGCTTCACCAGCTCCCTCCCTCCCCGCCCCCCCTCCGCCCTGGCCCCCCGTTTGCTCACACCTAGGCCTTTCTCCACCGCCTTTTGGTCTTGGCCCTCTCCCTCCCCTCCTCTCTTCCCTTCCCCTTCCCCTTCCTTTGCCGTATCCTTTTCCCTTCCATCCTTCTTAAGGGAAGGAAGGAAGGAAGGAACTGGCTAAGCTCCCCTGTGAGGGACACACCCCGATTTTCCTCAAGCTTGTGGAGAGGTCCTTCCCAGAGGCCTGGAGTCCCTCCTGACCTCCAGGGTGCCTGTTCGAGTGCGTGGGGGTGAACTTGAGGCTGGTGGTTGAGGGAGATAAGGAGCTCGCATGTGCCAGAGTGGAGCTGTGTGAGAGCACACGCCTAAGGCTTAGGCCCTACCACAGCACAGGCCACCAACAGAGTCACTGTGCATGAAGAAATGAGGAGTGTCGCCCACCAAAACATATCCGTGTGTGAGGGAGGTGCATGTCTGCGTATGGTGTGAGTGGTCAGATGTTCTCTCACCTCCTAGTAGCTCAGCCATGTGTGAGTAACTTCCGCCCGTGGGCCTGAACCTGAGCCTGAGCCAGTGAGCATATGCTTTTGCACACAGTGCCCTGGGGCTGTGCAGGGTGGTATGTGAGTGCCAGTACCAATGCAGTCTGGAGCAGGCGTGAGAGTGCATGTCATAGTCCACGGAGGCCTGTTGGGGTGGTGTGTGAGGCAGGGCATTTGTGGCCAGTAGGAGGTGTGTAGGTCGTGTGGATGTGTGCTAGTCCTTGGAGCTGGGGGCATGTTGTAAGAGTGTGTATGTAGAAGGCAGGGCTTGGAGACTGACCATGGTAGGTGTGCAGAAGGGTGGGATGACCTGCAGGTTTGGGGAATCCCTGTGAGATTTATGTGTGAGAGGGGCTCACGCAGCCTCTGTTGGATATCAGAATGTGTATGTCTTCATGGAGCACTGTACAAGTTGTCCTCTGGATGGAGGAAACTGGGAGCATCTGCTGCCCTGGCTTTTGAGAGATTGCCTGGTCCCTCTGGGACAGTCTTATAGAGTCCCAGACTCTCCTGGGTCTAGGCAGAGGTTTTTGTGTCCCTATGAGCCCTCCCCCAACATTCCTTTGGCCTTTGAGGGGGAGGGGGCCTAGCCCATTGGGATCCCTCCCAGAGGGAGGGGAAGATTCCGGAGACCTCCTCCACTCCCCACCTCCTCACATGCCACTGGCTTCCTTGCCCCTCCCTGGAAAGGAAAGGTTCTTGTACCCATTCTGAAGTAGGACAAACTGAGAATTCATGGCTGGTTTGGGAGAGGATGCTGGGTGTGGATTTTTAGCAATCCTTGGGCCAAGGCTGGGACCAGGGCCACGAGAAGTTTCTGGAGAACCTAGGACCTTAGCTTATCTAGCTGGTCCAGAGTGGTGGGTTGTGAGTTTGGGGCTTTACTTGACTTTCCCAATCCTGGTGGTTCCTACTCCCCTAGGCACTGACCTGTGGCCTGGACCCACCCTCCATCCCATGCCCAATACAGCGGGGGCGGGCAGAGGGCGGGGCTGCTGCCAGATCTAGTCAGACAGGTGGAGCCGCTGGGGCAGGAGTCTCACAAGAGCCAGGCTGCCAGAGAGGAAGGGCTCTGCAAGAGAAGAGAGCCCAGCAAGCCTACGAGAGGAGAGGGGAGGAGAAGAGAGGCTGGAGGTGAGAGCCCTGGAAGGCAGAGGGGAGACCTAGGGAGAGGAAGAACCACAGACCAGTAAGGTTCTGGAAGGGACTGGGGAGGTGAGAATCTTGGCAGGGGAGAGGAGGGACCCTGGGGAGATGAGAGATCCGGAAGGGACTGGACTGGAGGGACCCTGCAGGGGAGGATAGATTGAAAGGGAGAATCCCTGGAGAGAAGAATTTCCTCTTATAGCTGGGGAGATGAGAGACTTTGACAAAGGGTGAAGAGGTTCACTGGAGTTGAACTCTCTGTTGGTGAGAAGGGAGGGCTCCAGAAAGGGACCTGGAATTGAGAGAAGGGGAGGCCAGGAAGTAAAACTGTCTGAAGAGGCATCGAGAGGAGAGTAAGGTCTGGAGAGGAGAGGACCAGTGGAATAGCTCTCCCCCAGGCAGGCAGGATGTGTGGGAGCAGATGCCCTCACCAAACTGCCTTCTCTTCCCTCAGACCCCAACAATTCCTTTTACTGTGTTTCTGTCCTTTTCTTAATGAGGCATCAGAATTGTCCTGTCTTTAGCCTGTTGTCTGGTTCTGTGTCTTATCTTCATGGGTCAGGTGTGGGATGGGGATACAGACAGGATGTGTGCCTGTCTGACGTCCATCCCCCATCCCTCCCTACAGTCCCTAGCCAGGATGGAGGCTATTGTGAACTTGTACCACGAGATGATGAAGTGTGCAGGTGAGATGCTATCCAGCAGCCCTTCCCTCCCTTCTTTCCTGGGATCCTGGGATTTAGGGCTTTGTCTTAATGGAGAGTCCCTATGAATCCCTTGACCCTTTGTGACCTGACCTGAAAGGTATAGATCTGGTGAGGTTCCTTTGAACCCGTGACCCTTCCTGACTCCTTGACATTCATTCACAGATCCCCGGGTCCAGGGTTACCCTCTGATGGAGTCCCCCCTGCTAATGACCTCCATCCTCTTGACATACGTGTACTTTGTCCTCTCACTTGGACCTCGCATCATGGCCAACCGGAAGCCCTTTCAACTCCGAGGTTTCATGATTGCCTACAACTTCTCATTGGTGGCACTCTCCCTCTACATTGTCTATGAGGTGGGCCTGGATGTCTAGGCTTTAATTCCTGCCAGCAGGATAAGGGGTGGGCCAGAGGAGCAGAGCATCTCTCCTTTCCAGAGATTCAGATTCATTTCTTCAGCTAGAGATGGGAGGGATTGCTGGGAGAGGGAACTCTGGTGGTCTAATTCACACTCTTCATAGTTCCTGATGTCTGGCTGGCTGAGTACCTACACCTGGCGCTGTGATCCTGTGGATTATTCCAACAGCCCTGAGGCTATTAGGGTAAGTAAATAGGGGCTGGGGTTAGGTCTTAATCAATGACTTGAGCCCATGGCCCAGTCTAGAGAGGTTCTTGAAACAGTGTGGGGGGGGGGGGATCCTAAGGCTGCCTTGATTGACTTTTTGCAGATGGTTCGAGTGGCCTGGCTCTTTTTATTCTCCAAGTTCATTGAGCTAATAGACACGGTAAGTAGTTATGAGATGTATGAACTGGGGAGGTGGGGAAGAAAAGCCCCTGGCTCTGAACACCTCCCTGAACTCTTTTTCAGGTGATCTTTATTCTCCGGAAGAAAGATGGGCAGGTGACCTTCTTGCATGTTTTTCATCACTCAGTGCTTCCCTGGAGCTGGTGGTGGGGGGTAAAGATTGCCCCAGGTAAGTATTCAAGGCCATTGGAGGAGTGAGCACTGGGAACCAGAGGCTCAACTCTCCTGACCCTGTTTTACTCTCTCCCACAGGTGGAATGGGGTCTTTCCATGCCATGGTAAACTCCTCTGTGCATGTTATCATGTACCTATACTACGGATTATCTGCCCTTGGCCCTGTGGCTCAACCTTACCTTTGGTGGAAAAAACACATGACAGCCATTCAGCTGGTAAGGGGTCTGCTGGCCTATAACCATCTCAACATTCCTAGTCTAGATCCTACCTTTTTGTGTAACCTATCTCACCTTTGACCCTATCCCTCAAGTCCTTACTTAACCCATGCCTTTCTCTATCCTAGATCCAGTTTGTCCTGGTCTCGCTGCACATCTCCCAGTACTACTTCTTGCCCAGCTGCAACTACCAGTACCCAGTCATTATCCACCTCATCTGGATGTATGGCACCATCTTCTTCATTCTGTTCTCCAATTTCTGGTATCACTCTTATACCAAAGGCAAGCGCCTGCCCCGTGCACCTCAGCAAAATGGAGTTCCCAGTATTGCCAAGGTCAAGGCTAACTGAGAAGTGTGGCCTAGATAGATGCCCACCTAAGTGCCTCAGGACTGCACCTTGGGCAGCATCCTTCAGTGTTCTCCCCACCTACACCTGTGACCAGGGCTCAGGAGGTCAGGACTGAACAGGGGACTGGCCCTGCCCCCTCCCCACAGCTGGTCTACAAGGGCCACTGCTTCCATTCCTCACTTCTGGCGGACAGCTCCAGGGATGTGGCCTCATTGCCCTCTGGCATTTCAGAGCTGGGGGCTGAAAGGGCTGGACATTTACTTCCCCCTCTCTGCTTTAAACTTGGGAGAGGAACACTCAGGGCTGGCCCCCACCAGGGTCTTGTGGCCTTTTTCCTCACACTGAAGAGGTCAGCAATAATCTGTCACTATGGACCCAGGCTCCCTCCCTCCACCCCACACTGAAGCAGGAGCTTCTGGGCCAAAGGTCAGGGTATGTGGGGGGGGGATGCTGGGAATGTAGCCTGTGGAGGCTACTTACTCACTTGTGTCTTAATTAAAGTGACAGAGGAAACCACCAAGGCTTTGTGTGTACATGTGTGAGTGGAACTACAAATAGGAGGTCTCTCACAGGAGAGAGAACTGGGAAGGCTCCTGGGACCTAGGTCTTACAAGGAAAAGAAAGGAAGACATGACTTTATTAGAAAAATAAAAAAAACTGAGGTGATGGGTTGGTTTGTCATTAACGGATGCCTTGATGGATGAGGCTGCTTTTAGCTGCACTGGCCTTCTCCCGTTCCCGTCTTCGTGCAGGGTCCAACTCAAAGCAGCGCCACAGCCGCAGGGTCTCATCTGCTGCTGCTGATGCCACTGTGGCCCCATCTGGGCTCATGGTCAGACTCAGGACCCGTGCTGTGTGACCTAGGGCAAATTAAGAGTAATTCATGTGAACACTGACATATACATAGTTCTCTAATTTTGACAGCCCCCTTGAAATGTGTAGTACACCATAAGATTAATTAAGATATACAATTCAGTGGTTTTCAGTGTATTCAAAGTTGTGCAACCACTGTAACTATTTAATCTCAAAATATTTTCATCACTCCCATTACCTTCTCCCCTAGGCCCCAATAATCCGTTTTGTCTCTGCATTTACCTGATCTGGATGTTTCATATACATGGAGTCATACAATATGTGGCTTTTTGTCTCTGCTTTATTTCATTTTGCCACCTACCTTTGAGCTCTGCCACTTTGGCCATGGTTGGGTACTTCCAAATAACCAGCTGATTCTGGGCAAAGCCATGGCCTGAGATAAGCTCCTTATAGTGGGGAGACCAGAGGATAGAGCACACCTGAGGAGAGAAGCTGGTGTAGGTATGACATATAGCCAAGGATACTCAAATCAGAACCGAGTCCATTCTAACATAAGGCACCCTGCTAGGTACTACAAACTCACTTGAATGGTCATAGTCCTTAAAAAACCCTTTTAGAGACAATTTTCCATTTTATAGATAATCAGAAAGAAGTTTGATAAATTGCATACAAGTTGTTAGGTGACAGAGCCAGAATCTGAACTTAAGCCATCTGGCTCTAGAGTCCATTTCTAGAGTAAAGGCTACATGTTGGGGGAATGAAAGGAGAGGAAGCCAGAGTGGCTGCAAAGAGGCCTACCCTCAAGACCTCAAATATCCTAATGGATTTGGATTGTATGCTGTAAGTGATGGGAAGCTAGTATAGGTTTAAGGAGGACTGTAGAGACCACTCAGATCAGAGAGCAAAAGGACAGATTGGAGGAGATGAAGAATGTTTAGAGGTAGGCATGGTGGTACACAGCTGAATTTCAGCTATTCAGGAAGCTGAGGCAGGAGGATCACAAATTCAAGGTCAGCCTCCACTACTCAGTGGGACCCTGTCTCAAAATAGAAAAGAACTGGGCAGGGCTGGAGTTGTAGCTCAGTGGTAGAGGCACTTGCCTGGTATGTGTGGTGCCCTCAGCACCACATTTAAATAAAAGATCCACTGACAACTAAAAAATAAAATTACAAAAAAGGGTTGGGCGCCTAGTTCAGTGGTAAAGCTCTTTTGGATTCAATCCCTTGTATGGTTAAAAAAAAAAAAAATGCTTGGAGATCAGTGGGGAAACCTTATTGTGCCTTTCCTGGGAAGGATGAGGCGAAGTGGAGAGGACAGATGTGAATGATATTCTAAGGTAAAACTGATAAGATTCTGGTGATTCTGGTGAGGATAAAAAATTCTAGTAGACCTCTCAGACTTCTGAGCACGTTCTGTCATTCTGAAGCAATATAAGAGGAAGAGGAGGAAGAACACATTTCAGGGAGATGGGACATTAAGGAGATGGGAGTGCCTAGAGGACATAACAGCCAGAGATAAGTCAGACTGTTATCTGACTTATGGAGCTATGAATAAGTACTAAGTCAGAAGTTTGGAAATCACTAAGGTATAGAGTTGGTGAAGACATTGGAGTAGACATGGTTGCCTAGGCGGACCACAGGACAGGCTGGAATACGTAAAAGACTACCTGGGAATGGGCATCTACAGCACTCAGACAGGCTCCAGAGCAGACATTCCAGATGCGAATGTGTCGGTCACTGGTGCCCCCTCCTGTTGCTAGGATATTGGACTGCCAGGGACACCATGCTACAGCCTAGGTGGGATAAAGGCAAGGTCAGTGGTACTAGAGATAAACAAGAGGCTATCAAGGTTATACGATGAACCCAATCCAATCTCAACATCCCATCTCCCCTTAATATTCCCCAGGTTATAGCTCTGGAATTGTAGAGACCCAATCCAGCCCCTATCTCACCTTAACAGCACCTTGATGCTGGGTGAATGTTTGCAGGGGAACCCAGCCACTCTCTCCTGGAGCACTAGGCCACACGTTGACCAAGTTGTCATTGCCACCACTAGCCAAATGTCGTCCATCTGGGGCCCAACACAGTCCACACACTTCCTGGCTGTGGCCACTCAGTGTGGCCACATGGTGGTCTGCTACCCGAACATCATGGTGGTGGATGTGGCCAGAGCGTGAGCCACTGAGGGAAGAATTAAGAAATTCAGGTTCTATGGTAGCCCCAAATGCAAGCCAGAGCTGCTTTAGTTTAGAGGTATACAGTCAGAGGCATGGGGAGGCAGAAATCAGACTGATTTTGCCAGTCTAGCAAAAACCACTGACCTGGACAGGATATAGCTATTCCAACTTAGGGAGCTCACTCGGGCAGAGTGACTGGTCATGTTTCGAAGTCGTTTCTGCTGTTGTACATCCCATAGCTAGAGAGAGAACACCACTAAGATCAGAAATTGAGGTTTGGCAATAAATATCCTCTAGCTAGACAAGTCCCTGGGGTCTGATGTCAATAGAACTGCAGTGTAGGTACCAGTCTCACCTGCACCTCTGCACTGCTGGTGCCTACAGCCAGGTAGTTGCCCTCTTTAATCCAGGCCACAGAGGATACATAGTCTCCAGGCTGCTCCATTTGCAACAACTGCAGGATGTCACCAGAACTTGCACTCCACAAATATACACTGTTGTCCAGTGCCACAGCCAATACATTTCCAGAGCTCCAATCCACAAGGTTTAGGTCTAGCAGAGGCAGAAAGGGAAGAGCATGAAATTCCTTGTTTGCCTGGTCCCCAAGTCCTTTTTTCTCCATTGATGGGCAACAATAAAACTGCACTTACAGTAGTCATTTCGGATTTCAGGAGCATCCAGGATCCGATCTGGCAGGGAAGGAATGTAACGGCAGGTCTTCCGGCTGGAGCCAGGAGTGGCCTTCTGGCTATAGAGTACTTTCAGTCTGTTCTGGTAGCCTGTGGCAACGGAGTTGGTCTAGACCATGGGAAAACTGACACCTCCCTTGCCCTCAGCCTTAGGTGAGAAGAGCAAACAGCATCTCCCTCAGTCCCTGGGAGTGGACTGACACCAACCTCCAAGAACCAAGAACTTCAGGTCTTACCTTCTGGGGCATTCTGTGGTTTTCCACTGAGTCGGAGGATCTTGGCTTCTTCCACATCAAAACCGTTCAGGTTCAAAGCCCAGGCTTTCTGATGCTCCTAGCATATAAGAGTGATGGTGAGGCAGGGTGGGATCCAGAGGCCACAGTCAGATCCCATGCCTTGCTCCTCTCGAGAAACATACCTTTTTGGTGGGCGTCTGGCTGTTTTCAGGCTGGTTCTCCTTGCTCAGGAGGAAGCTAGCCACCTCCATCTGGGAAGCACTGCGATGGGGGATATAGCGGTCACCGCCAGGTTTGCTAGGGGTGGTCTGAACCTTGGAATTAGATTTGCCTGGGGCCGGGAAAGAAAAGCCATACAGTCTGACCAGGTTCCTGGAGGGAACACGAAGCCTTCTCTGGGCCATCCCCTCTCCTTCCTAGTGTCCCGTCGCATGCCACTAACCAGGAGTTCGGCCTGGGGTCCTGCCAGCGCTGTGGGATCGGTTGGCGGCCCGCATGGGCGAGGGGGCCGGCCCCGCTGCTTCTTTGGCTTTGCGCTGCCAGCGCGCGAGGGGTGCATTGGGGATGGGTGCGTCCAGCTGAAGCAGGGAGTGCAGGTCGCTCTCGAACACGAACTGCGCCATGGGAGCGCCCGGAAGGGAAAGGGGTCCTGAGAGTTGGTGCCCACTGTGAGCCCTGGAAGAAGAGGCGACCAGGCTCAGGGAAGGCTTGAGGCTCCTTCGTTCCCGGCCGGCTTCACAATCAGGCCGCCCTCGGCTGCAGCCCCTCCCGGCCTAGCAGCTCCCCCACCCCCCGGCGAATCCTTCGGTTCGGCCCAGCAGCCCCTCACCGTGCGTTCCGGAGCAGGTTCCAATCCCGGACCGGCTTCTGCACTACTGAGCAGTACCTCTTAAACTCTCCGCTCCGAGCGCTCATTGGCTCCTTCAAAACCCAACCGTCGCAACCGTTGTTCTCGCCTATTGGCCTCTATGGCATAGAGGGCGGGTCTTCCGGTACAAGACAGGTCTCACGAGAGTGCAGTAAAGGAGCGTGATTTGAATGAAGGGTGGGAGAGAGGTCTGAAGCCGGTGTCCCTGGGAGAAGGAGTCTGAAAGTGGTAGGGGCAGGCGCGGCGCGCGTAGGGCGGGGCCTGCGTTGCTTCCGCGTTCCCGAGTCGTTTCGATTCATTCTTCAGGGTCCCCTCACCCGCTGCGGGGATCGGCCTCATACGCTTGAGGGTCAGAGATCCCGAGGAAGTGCTCACGTAACGCCTACAGTAGATCATATTTATGGTACCTACTCGCAGAACTCGGTGGAATGACCCGAAGCACTTGAGCCGTTCAGAGAAGGGAAAGGCGAGCCTGCGGGTGGCCGACAAGCAGGGGTGGGGACAGGAAGAAGACCGGAGCTAGTTAGGGTGCTACCCGCTAGCCAGGAACCCTGCTAGGAGGAACGCGTGTGTTTGTTCTATTTTGCTTCTCGTTTTACAGACAAGGAAAATGACGCTGAAAGAGAAGTGAATGGAAAATAAGTTTAGACTGCCCTATGGGAGACACTGTTGCTTACTCTCTGGGGCTTTAGAGGTGTCAAGAACAATAGAAATCCTATCTCACCTGTGCTTGTGCACCCTTCTTATGGGCAACACATTCATATTTTATAGATAAGGAAAACAAGGCCCAGGGAAGGAATTTTCCCAAGGTTATTCAAAGAAGTTGGTAGGAATCCAAGTTCAGTTCAATCTAATGTTCTAATGATGACTTGAATGAATTATGTCATTATAATTCACGCTGTCACTCAGAAGTGAAGCAGCAGTAATAGAAATAATGGGCACCATTTATTGACTGTCTGCTAACTACTATGTTAAAACAGTTACATTCATTTTTTAGTTAAATCCTTGAACCCACAAGGCAAATATTTGATTTCACAGAAAAAGAAACTGGGTCAGAATGAGGTTAGAAACTTGAGCAAAGGCACACAACCAGTATTAAGTAGTGGAGCCAGGATTCAAAGTATTGAAGTAACTTCTGCAATCCTAACAATATGTTATACTGTTTAGGAACGGCTGACAAGTCAGGTTTTCAATCATTAGCCAGAGATCAACCCTGATGATGACAGAGAAAAAACTATGGCTGTTAGTCCAAACTTAATATTGTTATCTTCAACTTTGAAGAATTCATTTTTTTCTGTTTCCAATTCACTTGGAAAACAAGAGGGTTAATGTCTTAGGGTTATAAGTTCTTGAACCCCAAAAAACTTAGAAAAGGCAGTCTAGTGTCAGGCTTAAGTGTTAAGCTAAGGAGTTTGGATATTATCTATCAGGTACTGTGAAGCCATTGGGGCTTTCTGTGTAGAGAAGGACCAAACAAAACATATCTGAGGTGGAAAATTGGCCAAGGAATTGCAACTTCTGGACTCAGGATAATTAGAGAAGAAGGATGAGAATACAACCTCGGGGAATCTGTACATTTCAAAGTAAAGGCATGAAGGAGGTTATATGGACATGGACCTCACAGTGGGGGAGGGCCTAGAATGTGATAGAAAGTGGTCAAACTGAATGATGACAATAGAGGTCAACTATGACCATGGAGAAATAAATCACTGGTGACTTTGGAGAGGACATGATCAGAAAAGTGGTGCTGGAGACCTATTTAAAAGGAGTTGTGCAGGGTTCGGTGGCCCATGCCTGTAATTCCAGTGGCTTGGAAGGCTGAGGCAGGAGGATTATGAGTTCAAAGCCAGCCTCAGCAAAAGTGAGGCACTAAGGAACTTAGTGAGACCCTGTCTCTAAGTAAAATTCAAAATAGGGCTGGAGATGTAGCTCAGTGGTTGAGTGCCCCTGGTACCAAAAAAATAAAAATTTTAAAAAAGGGTTGCAGCCAGGCATGGTGGTGCACACTGCTAATCCCAGTGACTCAGAAAGTGGAGGCAAGAAGATTGCAAGTTGAAGGCCAGCTTCAGCAACTAAGTAAGACCCTGTTTCAAAGTAAATAAATAAATAAATAAAAACCGGGGTTGGGGTTGTGGCTCAGTGGTAGAGTGCTCACTTAAAGCAGATGAGGCACTGGGTTTGATCCTCAGCATCACATAAAAATAAAGGCATTGTGTCTACCTACAACTAAAAAAATAAAATAAAATAAATTTTAAAAATAAAATAAAAACTGGAGATGAAGCTCAGTGGTAAAGCACCCCTGGGTTTAATCCCCAGTATCAAAATAAACAAAAGGGGTTGCAGAAAGAATGGGATAGGGAGAATGTGGTGTGGAGCCTGCAATCATGGGCTACTTCTGTAGCCCAGCCTCTGATCTCTGTAAGTTTGCTAGGACTGCTGTAACAAATTATAAACTGGGCCGCTTAAATGAGAAAAATCTGTTTCACAGTTCTGGGGACTAGAAGTAACAGGTCAAAATGTCAGTAGGTTTAGTTCTTTCTGAGGCTGTGAGGAAGAATCTGTTCTATTCCTCTCCCCTAGCTTCTGGGGTTTCCAGGCAATCTTTTTCCTGGCAATACTTATAGAAGTATTCCCCTGATCTCTGCCTTCATCTCCACTTGGCTTTCTTCCTGTGTTGATTGATCTATGTCCAAATTTCCCTTTGTATAAGAGTACCATTCATATTGGATTAGGGCCTAGGACCTCATCTTAACTAATTTTTTATGCAATAACCCTATTTCCAAATAAGGTCATATTTGAGGTACTTGGGTTAAGACTTCAACATAAGAATTTGGGAAGGGGACACAATTAAACCATAATATCCCATTAATGGAACCAAAAAAACCCAAAGGCCAAGAAAATCCACTGATTCAGGCCATATGAATCAGCCTTGCAGAGAATAGGGCAGGATGGAAAAAGAGAGTGGATCTGGATAGGGCAAATGGATGACATACAGCATATCCATTCCCATAATTCACCCCTCACCCAAAGCCATGTTAAAAGTTCTGACTCTACTCCTAAGGACTCAATGTGCGGGGAGCATGAGCTTGAGCTGTTTATTCCCCTGGCTTCCTCCTGGCCACATCCCCAGAGATTGACTGCATGACCCTACCAAAGGCCACAACTCCTGTCAGGCAGCCCTCTCTCCAGGTCTGGTAACCACTCCCTCTCCTTACTCCTGATGTTTAGGATTGGTGCCAGCTTCCTGATTTTTGTTAGCCTTGGGGATACTGCATTGTTCTTTGATGGTTTTCCCAAATCTTGCCCTCATCTTTTGCCCTTTATTAAACTCTCAACAAATTACCCAGTTTGAGTGTACCATTGGTTTCTTCCAAGACCCTGATTTAAAACAGGGGGTATATTTGGAGCTAGCAAACAAACAAAAATCATTTGTTTGAGAATTAGAATGGGTTAGAGGAATCCATAACCTGAGTTGTTTAAGCATATTTATTGCTGCTCATGAATGGCTTAGAACACGAAGGAAGTTAGTATGAGGTTAAGGTAACATTGTCCAGAAAGATTTTATTCATTTATAAAACATTTATTGAAGGCCTAGCATCATGCACCATGTAATATTCTAGGTACTAGAGGAAAAGGACAAATAAATCATGGTCCTTGCCCCCTGCAAAGAACTCACAATATAGTAGCAGGAGGCAGACATGTAAACAGTTACTTGCATAAAGTATAATAATACTAAAGAAGTCTGGGTTGGATCTAAGAACTTTGGAATTGTCAACATATAGTAAAGTCCATGAGAACACACAGGCTGGAGATTAAGAATGGAGTCTTGGAGCTGGGGATGTAGATCAGTGGCCAAAAGCATGCCTAGCAAGGTTCTGGATTCCATCCCCAGTACTGCCAGAAGAAAAACAAGTAATGAAATCTTGAAGGACTACAATAGTTAAAGAATCAAAGAAATTCTGGAATAAGTGAAGAAGGAATAATTATAACAGTAGTTCAGGTATATTAAGCATTTACTATATCCTAGGCACTTTTGTTTTACCTAGGTTGTCTCACTAATTCTTTTCATGACACCAGTGGCGCTGTTGTTATGTTTTATTGATGCAAAAACAGTTTTTTGCCTTAGGTTGCACAGCTAGTAAATGTGAAAGACAGAAACTGAACGTATGTCTGGCTTCACAGTTTATCTCTAACAGTATACTTAGGCAGGAGCAGAATCCAAAGAGGTGCCGGTGTGGAAGCCAAGGTAGGAAAGAATTTAAAGGAGAAATTAGTCAACTATAACAAATGCCACAGAGAGATCAAATAAATTGATGATTAACAAGATCCTATGGGCCTTTATAACTAGAAGATTTTAACTGAACTTTGCCTGAGCAGTTTCATTAGCAAAGTGGTAGAAGGGGAACTAAGAGAAGTATTCTGGAGTCAATGAGAGGTGGAATTTGGTGTTCAAGGGGACAGAGGGTAAAAGTCAGAGAAATTAGCCTGGCTGTGGAGAAAGGGGCCCAGATCTGGCAGCAGCAGCATGAAAGATCAGTTCTATGAGGTTGAGCTAGGTAGGCAGGCAAAGGGGGATGAAAGTGAGATCTGAGGTGTTGGTGTTGGAGGGTAGAATAGGGTAGAGTGGTTCACAGAGAGGTCTAGATCTGTCCAGAGTACTGGGAATGAGGAGCCAGCCTGCAAGGCTGCTGCCAACAGCTTAGTGGTAGGTAGGAATGGTTGGCAATGTGGGTAGTGCAGCAGGACCCTGACTCAGCCATGGGTGGGCATGCAGAGAGGGGCATGGTTCCCAGGCAAGAAGGCTGCAATCCTCGGTAGTCCATCTGGGCTTGGGAGGGACACAGGGGCAAGGGAATCCTCTCTGAAGACTTAGGTAAGATTTCAAGGAGGCTGGGTTCCACTTCTTCATAGGTATCTGTGACTGTGGCCTTGGGCTGGAGAGATATGAAAGGAGTGGATTAGAGCAGATGGTGGGTGGGTGGGGGCGGGATTGGATTGTGTGGAAAGGAGCATCGGACTGGGGTTAGTTCCTGGGGGTGGGTATGCCGCTAGGCAAGGACCT